TTTGTTAATATTCAGATACCCATAAGTTTTTCCTGACAAGTTCCTAAAGGCTGTTATGTTATCACATGCATTTAGCTAGTGTTTTATGTGTTTCATGATAACTATTGTTAGTCCATATTATTCCTTGCAGTATTTTTGTAATAGTTACATAGATAACTAATAGGAAACTACTGTCATCTCTAATCTTTTTTCATATAGATATTTAATACCCTGGCTAAATTCAGTAAACCTTCCAAAGGATTGCAGACTCCAGTCATGGTTTTGGAGTTTTTTTAGTTTGCTATTTGAGGAGGTAATGACCAAAACAACCAATTTCAGTCAAATATTAAATTATTCTAAAATGCTAGCAGTTTGGTTTTTATCACTTTAAACTTAATAATTTCTAGCATGTGAGTAAGCCATATCCTACTAGGCTTGTTTTTTGTTATTGTTGTTTGTCTTACAGTAGGTCCTTATTGATTATCTATTTTAAATACAGCAGTGTATGCATGTTAATCCAAAACTCCCAATCTGTCCCTCTCCCCCTGCCTTCCTCCTTGTTAACCATAAATTCATTCTCTTAAGTCTATGAATCTGTTTCTGTTTTGTAAATAAGTTCATTTGTATTATTTTTTTGGATTTCATATATGTGATGTCATATGATATTTGTCTTTCTCTGACTTACTTTGCTTAGTATCAAAATCTCTAGGTCCATTCATTTTGCCACAAGTGGCATTATTTAATTTTTTTTGGACTGAGTAATATTCCATTGTATATATGCACTACATCTTCTTTATCCATTTGGAAGATGAATTATAATTTTAAAAATAGTATCAGATATATATGAGACATTACTTAGGCTGTGGACCATCCTTAGTACTCACATGGAGTAGTTGACATCTTGGCATCACTCAGCATTTCGTAGCTTAGGAACAACTGTTCTGACACAATTTTTAGCTCTCCAAGATTACCCCACAGTGTGAGAGAGGGAAAATGATGAGCCAAGAGAAATTTTCTGGGAGCTAAAATCATGCCATGTTGCCAGCCCATGGCAAAGCTGAGCTAGTCTTGAAAACCCACAGAACCATCAGAGAAAAAAGGATGAATGGATTTCTTTTTACATCTTTTGATTCCCTCTGCAGGACATCATGATTTAATTCACTGTGTCTGAGGAGACCACAGGAGACCCTTGGCTTATGACCTAATTGGTTCCTGAAGGAAAAATGAAAGTTCAGACCTCTCTTTTATCCCCAGTTGGCACAGTATTATAAATTATGGTCCTTTTCCTGGAAACAAACCCTGTATCACAACTATTCCAAAATATATTATTAAAATATATGTTGAATGTATATTATTTGTGTTTATATTTTTACAAATATATATTAAAGTATATAAAAGCAGAGTTTGTAGTCACAATAAAAGAAAGCATGTTTGGGGTAGTTAGGGACTCAGGATTCTGGAACCAGACTTAGGTAGGTTCAAATATCAACTTTGAAGCTTCCTAGCAGGGTGATCTTGGGCAGTTATTTAATCTCTCTATGCTTTGGTTATCTGTAAAAATGGTGGTAATAGTCCCCACCTTCTAGAAGTGCTCTGAGGATTAAATAAGTTAATGTATAGAAAGTAGGGAGAATTGACAGTGCCTGACAATGTCACTAAGTGTTGACTGCTATTTTATATGTTGTAAATGCTCATTTTAGGGAAACTTTTCAGAATGGTCTTAAAATACCAGCTCAATCAAGTTGGCTCTCAAGGTTCCTTCTTTTCCTGATAAGACGTTCCTGAGTCTAGATGTAGATGCTTATCATCATACCCCGCTCAAGGCTATTCACAATCAGGCTCCAGTCATGCCTTTTCTATACTTCTTTTGTACAAATGCTCCCCTCAAGTTGTACTTTCTCTTTCCTGGTTCAGCCCAACATCTGCCTCTTTGGCAAAATTTTACCAGTGTTATCTGAACTTCTTTGGAATTTATTGTGTGCTTCAATGTTCCACTGTTTTAAAAATCATCTCTAAGTCAAACCGTTTGAGACTAGTAGCTATATGCAGTACAACTTTGTGTTCCCTTGTCATCTACTTCAGGATGTGCTTAGTCACTTGTGTGCTAAGTTGCTTCAGTCATGGTAAACTCTTTGTGAACCTAAGAACTGTTGTCCACCAGGCTCCCCTGTCCATGGGATTCTACAGGCAAGAATACTGGAGTGAGTTGCCATGCCATTCTCCAGGGGATCTTCCCGACCCAGGGATCAAACCCAAGTCTCATATCTCCTGCATCAGCAGGCGGGTTCTTTACCACTAGCATCACATCTTCCTGACCCAGGGATCAAACCTCTGTCTCCTGCGTCTCCTGCATTACAGGCGTGTGTGTCACCTATATGGACTGTTTAACTGGCAGAGATAAGAGAAAGCAGCCTTTTTAAGACTGTACTATAAATTGAATTTTGTGTGTGCATGTACACATGCATGCATGTCCAATCTGCATTGCAGGTTAACAGTTTTGAAAACTAACTGTATTTTTAAAATTGGAGGGCTTGTGAGAAATTTAAAGTTAATATAACTAAGTGAAACATTTGCAGGTTAGATTGTTTGGAACAGCATAGGAACCAAAAAACATCACACTTCATATATTGCAATCAGGCCTGCATCTCCTGTTGGATAATTATGAAATGTCTTCCTCTGAAACTACTACTACTATGTAGCAAAGAAAAAGAAGAACCCTGTGGCTGTGACTGTCCACATCACTGAATTAGGGCTATAAGAACTAGGAACTAGTTAAGGAATGGGAAAGGGAGAGAAAGGAAAAAACATACTTTTGGATCTGCTTATTTTCTAATATTTAATAATAGTAATAAAACATCTTACCTAAAAATATATGATATAATAAGACATTTTAACCTTTTGGCTGTTGGCAAAGTTTTCTTCATAAAAGCCATTATATTTGACACCCAAAAATATTATCATTAAGGATTTTTTGTTGTATTCAATCACTCAGTTGTGTCCGACTCTGTGACCTCATAGACTGCAGCACATCAGGCTTCTCTGTCTTGCACCGTCTCTGGAGATTGTTCACACTCATGTCCATTGAGTTGGTGATGCCATCAAACCTACTCATCCTCTGTCATACGCTTCTCTTCCTGCCTTCAATTGTTCCCAGCATCAAGGTCTTTTCTAATGAGTCAGCTCTTCATATCAGGTAGCCAAAGTATTGGAGTTTCAGCTTCAGCATCAGTCCTTCCAATAAATATTCAGGACTGATTTCCTTTAGAATTGACTGGTTGGATCTCCTTGAAGTCCAAGGGACTCTCAGGAGTCTTCTCCAACACCACAGTTCAAAAGCATCATTTACTCAGTGCTCAGCCTTCTTTATGATCCAACTCTCACATCCATACATGACTACTGGAAAAACCACAGCTTTGACTAGATGGACCTTTGTTGGCAAAGTAGTGTCTCTGCTTTTTAATATGCTGTCTAGGTTGGTCATAACTTTCCTTCCAAGGATCATGCATCTTTTAATTTCATGGCTGCAGTCCCCATCTGCAGAGGTTTTGGAGCCCAAGAAAATAAAGTCTCTCACTGTTTCCATTGTTTCCTCATCTATTAGCCATGAAGTGATGGGACTGGATGCCATGATCTTCATTTTTTGAATGTTGAGTTTTAAGCCAGCTTTTTCACTCTCCTCTTTAATCTTCATCAAGAGGCTTTTTAGTTCCTCTTTGCTTTCTGCCATAAGGGTGGTGTCATCTGCATATCTGAGGTTATTGATATTTCTCCCAGCCATCTTGATTCCAGCTCGTGCTTCATCCATCCCTACACTTAGCATGATATACTCTGCATATAAGTTAAATAAACAAGTGACAATATACAGCCTTGATGTACCCCTTCCCAATCTGGAGCCAGTTCATTGTTCCATGTCTTGTTCTAACTGTTGTTTCTTGATCTGCATACAGGTTTCTCAGGAGGCAAGTGAGGTGGTCTGGTATCCTACCATCCCTCTGAGAATTTTCCACAATTTGCCGTTATCCACAGAAAGGCTTTATCACAGTCAATAAAGCAGAAGTAGATGTTTCTCTGGAATTCTCTTGCTTTTTCTATTCCTTGATATTAAATATTTTAATTGAAGTTTACATAAAATAATTTTATGCCATAATTGCCTTGTTTTTACTCTTTTTTCACTCTTTGTTCAGTTCAGTCACTTGGTTGTGTCCAACTCTTTGTGACCCCATGGACTGCAGCATGCCAGGCCTCCCTGCCCATCACCAACTGCCAGAGTTTACTCAAACTCATGTCCATTGAGTCGGTGATGCCATCCAACCATGTCATCCTCTGTCGTCCCCTTCTCCTCACACCTTCAGTCTTTCCCAGCTTCAGGGTCTTTTCAAATAAGTCAGCTCTTCACATCAGGTGGACAAGTATTGGAGTTTCAACTTCAATATCAGTACTTCCAATGAATATTCAGGACTGATTTCCTTTAGGATGGACTGGTTGGATCTCCTTGCAGTCTAAGGGANACAGTCAAAGGCTTTGGCACAGTCAGTAAAGCAGAAATAGATGTTTTTCTGGAACTCTCTTGCTTTTTCTTTGAGCCAACGGATGTTGGCAATTTGATCTCTAGTTCCTCTGGCTTTTCTAAATCCAGCTTGAACATCTGAAAGTTCACAGTTTACGTACTGTAGAAGCCTGGCTTGGAGAATTTTGAGCATTACTTTACTAGTGTGTGAGATGAGTGCAATTGTGCAGTAGTTTGAGCATTCTTTGGCATTGCCTTTCTTTGGGATTGGAATGAAAACTGATCTTTTCCAGTCCTGTGGCCACTGCTGAGTTTTCCAAATTTGCTGGCATATTGAGTGCAGCACTTTCACAACATCATCTTTTAGGACTTGAAATAGCTTCACTCTTTGTTAGTGGATATAATTGAATTTGGGCTATGGTATTTTTTTTTGTAGACATTAAAAAATGAATTCTTGTCAAGGATACCTTAAAGCAAGGACCCATCTTTCTTTCTTTCTTTCTTTTAATACTAGATACTCTGGATGAATATTTTGAGTATGATGCAGAGGAGTTCTTGGTCTCTCTGGCCTTGTTAATAACAGAAGGACGAACACCTGAATGTTCTGTTAAAGGTCGAACAGAAAGTTTCCATTGTCCTCCAGCACAGTCCTGTTACCCAATAACTACAAAACATGAATGTAGTGACAAGCTGGCCCAGGTGAGAATTGTGTGTTGAATGTGTTTTATTATCTGCCTTTTATATAAATTAGTTTAAATTTTGTCATCACCTTTATTACAATTATAACATTCACATTTAACCATAAAATTGGCTACAACATAAAGAAAAAGTATAGTACGTAGCTTTTCCATCAGCAGGTAAGTGTGCAGCCAATTTCATACCTTTGTCCACACACATCAGATTTAAGATGATCCTTGTTAACTATGAATTAGATTTCCTTAGTTTTAGTCTCAGCCCTAGTTCATCAACTTTGTGTTCTTGTTTATTTATTAGATTTATGTTCATTATTATTTTCCCCACGTTAATGGGAGGATGCTTTTTGCTGTCATTAACGTTTCTATATAATACTGTTAAAAATACTTATTTTGGTATGTAGCGTATAATTTGCTGTAAAGATATTTCTGCCAGTTAGTTTTTTAAATGTAGTCCAAAATTTTAAACTTCTAAAATCTTGTCTATTTTGAGTGTTTAATGAAAATGGACTTTTAATATTTTAAATTAAAAATATTAATTTTTAATATTTTAATATTTTGCTCTTAGAATGAATCTTTCGTCTATAACTAATGATATCATTGACAGATGAGACAAGGCCGGGCCATCTTGAGGCCTGTCAGACGTTGTGCATGGCAGTTATTTTTCCACAAAATAGAGCAAAGATATCCTCCCACAAGAAAATTGGCATCATAATTGTTGTTAGCTACTAATCCCCACACTCTGGAGTTAATAGTGCTGATGCATTGTTTAATGAGGAAACCTAAATAGACAGACAAGCCTGAGCAAAGCCCTTGAATAGGTGACTCATTTTCATACAGATGCTTTACAATTTTACTTTTTGAACTGAAATATAAAATTGGATGGGCTATTGAGCCGTTTTGCTTATCTCCATCTTCTCCAAGTGTCGCCAAGCCAGACGAACTAGGTCTGAGGTCGCATTGTTGTGGAAGAATAACCTTCCAATCATGGTGGAAGTGATGCTACTACCAGACTGCTGCTACAGTGATGATGGGCCCACCACCGAAGGAATTGATCTGAATGATCCTGCTATTAAACAAGATGTGTTATTATTAGAAAGATGGATATTGGAGCCAGTTCCTCGACAGTAAGTTGAACTGAGTTACTTTAATAATATGTCTTTGAATCTCTCTATTTATGTATTAAAATTTACCTATTTTGTACTTCTGTGACTTCAAGTGACACTCGTAAATGTACTCCCACACTCTTGAAAACACATATCCTGAGTGATGTATTTACCAGTTTCTTTCTAAAATTCAGTCATTTTATACTTCCTGACATTTAGATGATGCTTTTTGACTTTCCTTAGGAATGGTGATCGATTTATTGAAGAGAAGACTCTCCTGTTGGCTGTCCGCTCATTTGTGTTTTTTTCTCAATTAAGTGCTTGGCTGAGTGTTTCTCATGGTGCTACTCCACGAAATATTCTTTACAGGTATGTCTAGGGCAGAAAAAGAACCATGCATATTTAGCTACAGTGGTTAACTGCTGAATGGTGTTTGACCTTTTAAGCAGTTTATTTCCTTCATTTCTAAATGTAATTGGATAATATTTACTCAAGTTTTTCTCAAAGCAAGTTAGAGAAATTTAGATATGATATGACTCAAGATGAGTTTTGCTTCTTAGGTTAAATTTGGTGTAGATTTGTTTTCAGAGAACTGTTAAGCTTACTTTATAGAACCAACAATGAATTCATACCACCATTATAAATAAAGTGGAAAAACTTTCTGGGCTGCTGAATTTTCACAATGGTAAACCTACTTACTTTTTAGATCTTGAAAACTGTAAACACACAAGCTGCTGAACAGCTGTCTTAACTGTCTCTTTAGGCAGGTAGCCATGAGAGAGAGAGTATCTCTAAATCACCTCACAGAAAGCATATAATTATAATAGAATTAACTGAATTCATTTATTTAGTAGCAAATGGAAAGTTCCTTTTTTCTGTTTTGACAACTAATTTTGAATTACAGTATTTTTTAGTGCTTTACTACTATAGTGTTCTTAAAAAGAAGATTGTCTGTATTGCAGGCATAGTCTATTTATGTTGGTTTTGTTAGAGTGACATGCGTGGTAAAGTAGATTAAAATCTCAATAGTAACTAATGCAAACAAAGGTAAGTATATGACTGTTTAAAGTTTTAAAAATAATATATAATAATGATATGTTTTATAATCCATTGATTCCATTTTTTTCTGTGTGATTCTAGAATCAGTGCTGCTGATGTAGACCTACAGTGGAATTTCTCACAGACTCCAATTGAACATGTGTTTCCTGTTCCCAATGTTTCTCACAATGTGGCCTTGAAAGTCAGCGTTCAGTCCCTGCCCAGACAATCTAATTATCCAGTTTTGACCTGTAGTATTCACACTAATATTGGCCTTTATGAGAAAAGAATTCAAGAACATGAACTTAAAACCCATCAGCACCGAAATTCTACAGAAGCAGATCACTGTAGTACAGACAGTTCACAGCGTGTTTGCAGCAAACAAACTTGGACCATGGCACCTGAAAGCATAATATTACATGCAAAAAATGGCACAACTCCAGAATATAATGCAGCTGTCAAAAATGTCAAGCTTTATCCAGGCACTGGCAGTAAATCTGACTATGGAACATCTCAAGGCAATATTTTGGGCTTCAGTAGTATAGGAGAGAAAAAGTCACATGAAACATCAGTGAGAACTTTCAAATCATTTTCAGTGGCTGATTCCAGTGACTCTAGTCGCCAGAGTTCCTGGCAGTCAGTTGGTGAGACTAATCCTTTAATAGGCTGTTTAATTCAGGAGCGGCAAGAAGTTATCGCAAGAATAGCTCACCATTTGATTCATTGTGATCCAAGTACTTCCCATGTTTCTGGACATCCACTTACTATACAAGAATCTAGTTCACTTAATTCAAAACTTTTCCGTGTTTCACAAGAAAATGAAAGTGTAAGAAGATGTAAAGAAACATTCTCTGTCTCTTTTGGCAGTCCAGAGTTCACCTCTTCAGAAGACACCAGTGAAGGGAAGATTCGAGTAAAACCAGAAACTCCTCAAAATGACACTTGCATCTCTAATGGTCTTCATTCTCGTCAGTCTATTGGTGAGACTAATCCTTTGATAAGCTCTTTACTCCAAGAACGGCAAGATATCATTGCAAGGATTGCTCAACACTTGGAGCATATTGATCCAATGGCATCTCACATGCCCCGGCAATCATTCAATATGCAGGACTCCAGTTCAGTTCCTTCTAAAGTATTTAGGAGTTCCTTTGAAGACAAAAATTTATTGAAGAAAAACAAGGATGACACCTCTGTTTCCATTTCTAATACAAAATTTTCCTTGTTAGATGACATCAGTGAAGGGAAAAACTTAATATCTAACAAATATTTTGGTTCTTTTAATTGCAACAGTAAAGTCAAGCCTTCTTTGCAACCTCAAACAAGAAGAAATCTGTATAAGGACAATCCTAGTGAAATCCGAAGTACATTTCAGGAGACACAGAACAAAGCTACTGGTTTAATGACCCCTTTGAATATATCTCACTGCAGAGAAAATAACTTCGATTTGACAATCAGGTTAGAAAACACACCTTCTGAGTGTCAATTTGAGAAGCAAGAAATTAGTGATGAAATTGATAAAGAGCATTCAAATTGTAACAGTATTGACCAACAGATTTGCACAAATAAGTATAAGGACAAAATAATAAATGAAATTTACAATCCAGAATCTTTTAACAGTCGCCAGTGTGATAATTCAAAAAAAAATGACTTGAAAGTAAAAGTTACTGTGTTGGAATTGTCTGGATATCTGAGTAAACATGAAAATGAGTGCTCAAATAAAGACCCAAAAAGGCCTAAGCCATGTGAACAAAACACTCAACTTAATAGTATAGAAAATTATCTCATTAAAGATAGTGAAGGTTTCAAATGCAAAAAGCTAGACCAATTAAGAAGTGGACAGGATAAGAAAGAAGATCCAATTGATGAAAACTCTCAAAACTCTTCTCAGAGAAGGAATTTAAAAGATTGTTTGTCCACATGTGAACAACTGAAAAATAAAGAAGTGTTGGTAAGTAATATCTAACATTTTGAATATAATCCTCAAATATTTGTTATGGTTTGAATTTTGTTTTCAGAAGATCTTGTTATAAAGGTCCAAAGTACCATTGTCTATAGAGCAGACTGCTACAGAACTAGTATTAACATCTTCATAAATAAACCACCCACTTAAGAGCAAATGCTAGGTAAATTCTTCCTTTTGCCCTTTTTTGTTTATTTCAATACTGGGAACAGTTGCTGGAGAGTAAAAAGGAGTCAGAAATGAAACTTGTATCATTAGCTTAATGTGTTATTTGTTAGCAACTCTGGCCCATTATGAGCAGAGTGCCCATTGTGTTATGCCTCTGCTCAGCTAAGGAATATCTAGTGAAATCACTGACCTGTGATTCAAAATACCTACATTCCAGTCCAGACAGATTTGGTCCTTGAGTGAAGCTAAATAAATCACTCACTTCTAAAACTTCCAGTTTCCTCAATTTTAAAGTAAGAATGATGAATCTCTTTTGCTTTTAGTTGTGGTAATAATTAAATTGTAGATTTTTAAACATTTTTTAAACTTTTAATTTACTACATAAATCAGACATACTTAAGTTAGTTCCATTTTATTTGTCCACCAAACCATTTTTTAACTTTAGAAAATTATTATTAGGCTTAAATTTCCTTTGTTTCTCTAAAAAGCATTACAAATTTATATCTCAGTTATATGAAAAACTACTTAACTGCCTTGATCCGAATCTGAATGACCTTGGTTCATCTTCTTTATCAGGCAGATTAGTCTTGTTGGACATTAGAGTCTTAAAATTATGCCATGTTTCCAATTGCTGTTTTTCAACAGAAGATTTCCTCTCCTCTAACACATGGGTTTAACCAAATTTCAGTTTCCAATTTACTAAAACGTTGTCACAAAAACCTACCCTGACCTTAAGAATACTAGCTTTTCATGATCCTTTCTGGTACATTATAGGGAGGCTTACTTTGACCATGGTACTTTTCAAGCTACTATGATTAGTTTTTTTCATGTTCTTACTTTAAATATAATTATACAGCCTTTGCTATGTGCCTAGGCACTCTTATGAATGTTTTATACACGTTGGCTTACTAAATTCCTTTCACTATGATGTGAGATTAGGTGCTGTTACTAACTCAAGTTTGCAAATGAGGACTCTAGGCCTGGAGAGGTTATATGATGTGCCCAAGGTAATAAAGCTAGGAAATATTAAAGCCAGGACCCGTTAGTTCTTTCTGATTTATATCCATGTGTTTTCATGAATTTTTGATTTCTGAGTATAAACTTGCATAAATTCTTAAGAACTAGTCTATTGCTTATATCACTTCAAAAACGGTACTGTGACTGTGTTAAGTATATTTTAAAATTCACATTTATATTCTTGTATCATGCACTAACTACCAAATTATATTTTCTGAGGAGGGCTCTTGCTATTGACGTAGTTTTGTATTTTAGCATATTATACTAATTTTTTTCTAACTATGAGAAGTTGTTTTTTTCACAAATTAAAAAAATTGAATATTAGCTTACTAATGTTAGACTAAGTATAAAATACATTGACCCGGCATGCTGCAGTCCATAGGGTCATAATAAGTCGGACACAACTGGGCAACTGAACAACAACAAGGCATACATTGGACGTACTTTATTTGAGTTTATTCAGCATCTTAGAAAAAACTCTTAAACTCTGTTTTCTAATTAAAGTGTATATAAATGTGTGTGTATGTGGTCTTCCCTTGTGCCTTGGATGATAATAAAGAACCTGCCTGCCACTGCAGGAGATGCAGTTTCAGTCCCTGGTTTGGGAGGATACCCCAGAGAAGGAAATGGCAACCCACTCCAGTATTCTTGCTTTGAAAATCCCATGGTCAGAGGAGCCTGGCGGGATACAGTCCATGGGTCGCAAAAGAGTCAGACACGGCTTAGCGACTTAACAACAAATAATGAATATGTGTGTATAGACAGGTTTATAGGTCATTAACTTTACCACCAAGGATGTAATACCTCAGTATATATTAAAAATAAATCTAAAAACAAAAAACTTAAATGTTACTATTAAAATCTAATTATTTTCCTAGCAGAGAACTATATCACTTAAACATTCAAGTGTCTGGCAGAAACATAATTTTCATTCCTTGGATGGAACCTCAACCAGAGCCTTTCATCCTCGAACTGGATTGCCTCTTCTTTCCAGTCCTGTAAGTGTTTTTCTCTTATTTTTTTTCTCTTATTATGTAAAATGTTTGCAAATAATTTTATCCAAATTTTAATTGAAAAAATTTAAATTTAAATACTTCAAAATAAATTTTTAGTGAGAAATCATTTTACCTTTTGATATACTTAATAGCTAAATGTTAATATGGAAAAAGGAAAAGTGGATAAAATGAATTTATTATGTTATGATTATAAAATTTCTCTGAAATTCTTAATGTCCAACATATTAATTCTTACTAAGGAAAATAAGTGTCAAATGTATTTTTTATAAATAGATTTGTGTTATAGTACTGAGCCTGGTTGATACCACCAGCTGAATCATCTGGGATTCAGATCTGTCTTTGACTTAGGACCTGTGCAATTCATCATCTTATTTTGAGATATAGAGGTTTCCCCTTTCTACATTTACAAATAAATTTATAGATCTGAGTGTGATAGTTAAGAGCCTTGTTTTGGAGTCACACCGACTATTCTCTAGCCGTGTGACGTTAAGTGAGAAATATTCTCTCTCTGAGCCTCAGTGTCTCATCTGTAAAAAGGGAGTGATATTGTCTGCTTTAGTGTTGGGAGGATGATTAGTATCTTTCCTGACATATGGTAAGCATTTGATAGTCACTAGTGCTGCCATTTCAGTTAAACTAGAGGTAAGCTGTCAATATCCTAGCAAACTGAAAATATATTTATTTTGCTACTAATGTAAGATAATTTTTGTTTTTATGAGAGTTTTTAAAGTAAAGGCAAAGCATATGTTTAAAAAATAATTCTTGAATAAGAGATCTAGATTTAAATTTGTAACTAGGACCTTAGGTATTTGTTTTAGAGAAGTTGAATTCCAAACAATATAGAATAATCCCAAATACTTGACCTACCTATGAGGTGCTTTCAAAATACCCAAGTGATCAGGAAAAAAACTTGCATCATGCTGGTGTAAAGACCACTACATACAGAATTCTGTTCAATATGGTGGACTGAGTTGATACAAGATCCTTCCTCTTTTTTAAACACAGAAATACTGGATAAAATATAACACAACTTCTAAATACATAATATAGTGTATAAGCAGGAAAGATACATTTCCAAATACTAACTTGGGGTGAATTAATTATGGCTTTCCAGAATATCTAAATCTAATATAGTGCTAAGGTTTAATGTTCCTGCTGGGTCAGGAGTCAGGTCTATACCAATCATAGCTGAGACCTAAAACAGAACTCCATAAAGCCAGAAACAGAAGAGGACTGCCATTCTAGAAATGAGAGAGAGGAGGGGAAAAAAATCACCTATTTAATTAAAAGGTACAACAGGAAGGTATAGATTAGATGGGAAAAAAGAAGCCCCCCAAAGAATTTGGACCTAAGCCTAAATCACCCCGAGGTAGGGGGCTCCAAATTTGTGCTGTATATGAGAAAACATGAGATTATCCCACATCTATAATCCATGGCACCAAGGATTTATTTTCAACAATAGCTTCTGCTGAAGATGATTTCAGGGGAATTCTTTGTAAAATTTTCCAGGATATAAATGAAGATAAAGTCAGGGAACTGAGATAAGAGCACATGTGGAATTGGAAAAATAGAAATGAAAAATATAATTGAAGTGTACATATATGTGCACATACCCATATACATGAATTAAATGGTGGACTGAAATCATCTGAATCGAGATTTAGTAAATGGATAGACAAATGTTAAGAAAGCACCTGGAATAAAGTGCAGAAGGAAAGACAGATGGTACAGTATGAAAGTGGCCTGGAGGATAAAATAAAATGTTCAATATAAGCCTAGTAGAAATTCCAAAAGGAAGACTAGATGGAATAAAGAAAATGCAGTATTAGAAGAAATGAAAGTAGAAAATGTTCCTGAATTGAAGACATGAGAATTTGGATTGAATATTTCACATTAAGTTCTGACTCCAAAATATAGCATGGTATACTTATACAACTCTCAAAAATATTGAGATTGTTTAGACTTTCAGTATCATCTGTTTCTTAATCACAAATTAGACCAATCACTCAGATACTTTATACATATTTAGCTTTAATTTTAGAGACAAATCCATCTAACCTGCATGTTGTATGTGATTTTACCTTTTAATTTACAGTGGGGTCTTTCACTTTTAGAGTATTTTGAGCTAGTTGGTGGTTGGTCTTAAATGTAATTTGGTATGCAATAGAGATTGAAAATCCAGAATAGTATTTTTCAAAACTATTCTCTGAAGCCCCAGCCAGGGTTCTTAGAAATGTGCACTGGGGTAGGGATAGGTACAGTTGCGGCAGAATTGCCTAGACCCCAGGCTCCCATCACCATTTAATTCTTTTCCCCCCTTTTATTGGAAAGCTATAAATCATTTATTTCTACCACATTCAATACAGAAGTATGTAAAATAAAAAGTAAAAATCTTATTATATTATATATTAAGATTACATATAAAATTTGGTTTTAGAGAAAACTGGTTATGATTCTTTCTTCATTTATTTGACTGCACCGAGGTTTTAGTTGTGGCCTGTGGGATCTAGTTCCCTGACCAGGGATCAAACCCAGGGCCCTATATTGGGAGCCCAGAATCTTAGACACTGGACTGACTACCAGGAAAGTCCCTGGTTCTGGTTCTTAAAAAGTCAAAACCTAGGGAATTCCCTGGTGGTCCAGTGGTTTGGACTTGGCACTTTCACTGCAGTGGCCCTAGTTAATCTCTGGTCAGGGAACTAAGATCCTGCAAGCTTTGAGGCATGGCCAAAAAAAAAAACCAAAAAACCCAGTAAAAGTACTTTTATTAATCATTTGTTTCTTTTTTAACTAGTTAATAAAATGAAGACATAGGGACAATATGTAATAAAAAGGGTGATTTTAAGTACACTATTAAGAGAGAAGTTGTATTATTTTTTAAGATATGCTTAGCTTTCATTTGAAATTTGTTCAATCAATTCAAGAAAAAAATGCAGTCTTTTGAAATTCTTTTGAAACCTAACAAGTGATTATTTTAACCTTAGGTTCCTCAAAGAAAGGCACAATCAGGTTGCTTTGATCTGGATTCTTCATTCCTGCATCTGAAAAGCTTATCGTCTAGAAGGTATTTATCTTAAAATTTGTTTGTGTATATGAAATAGTATTACATAAAATTCTAGTCTTTCATAGTAAATGATGTTGATTCTGAAAATCAAAATTTTAACAGGAATCTTATTTTTCAGTTTATCATTTTCAAGATGATTTCACACATTCAGTTATTAAAGATGAGAGAGATTAAGACAATGCATTGCTAACTATATAATGACATCATAATAAATAAACACTTAACATTGGTTTTAACATTTAAGTGGGTTTGTCTGTTTCTGGTCATTCACCTCCTCCTCTGTCTTATACACCTTTGCAAAACAGCCTTGGCAGTTTGTTCCATGTTGACAAATAATACTCTCATTATATTCCTTAGTCACATAATTTTGCTTTGTATTCTAGTTCTTAACTTAAAATGAAGATTGATGTAGAAGACTGCATTCAGTTCAGTTCAGTCGCTCAGTCGTGTCCGACTCCTTGCGACCCCATGAACCACAGCACACCAGACCTTCCTGTCTATCACCAGCTCCCGGAATTTATCCAAACTCATGTCCGTTGAGTCAGTGATGCCAGCTAACCATCTCATCCCCTGTCGTGCCCTTCTTCTCCTACCTTCAATCTTTCCCAACATCAGGGTCTTTTCAAATGAGTCAGCTCTTCACATCAGGTGGCCAAAGTATTGGAGTTTCAGCTTCAACATCAGTCCTTCCAGTGAACACCCAGGACTGATTTCCTTTAGGATGGACTGATTGGATCTCCTTGCAGTGCAAGAAGACTGCATTACACTACTATGTATTTCCAGTAGATGCTTCTATGTGATATGTTATAAATTCCACCTTGAAATCTAGGATGCTTTATATATATTCTTTATCAAATACAATAACAAAGATTATAAAATCAGGAATTTAAGATATTTCATATCTTAACATTTGTTTACATTAAATTTTTTATTATGATAGTTTAAGTAAAATTGATCAGATCTTCCTAATTTAGTTTTGTACAAAAGTAAATTAGAAAACATTGTTGTTAATGTGCCCATTTGCTGATTTGTTCTTTTTTTATTTTTTGTTCTGTTTTTAAATAGTCCTCAACCATGTTTAAACATTGAAGATGATCCAGATATTCATGAAAAACCACTTCTGAGTTCTAGTGCTCCGCCTGTAACAAGTCTTAGTCTTTTAGGAAATTTTGAGGTAATGTTTTTTAAAACTATTTTAAGAGTTGATGTTTCTTAACCTAGATCCATGGTGCTATATTGTTTGTTTTTGAAAAGGAAATAAGTAGATTATATTTTTCTAAAGCCTTGAAATCACCTGCTTTCCTTCCTTTCCTATTTTTCCTTTTTCTTGTTTTCCCTTTCCTTTTCATGACAAGTAAAGTTGGGAGATTGTTGACAGTGATAACTTACAGTTGGGTAGCTGGTGGGAAGAGAGGGAGCACATAGGTGAAATCAGGTTATATGGAGGTATCCGTTACTCTACCTGGAAAATAGACTTGACCACATCTTACTGGTAAAACTGTCTCTGGGATCCAGAAGGGATTGATGATGGGCTGATAGAAGATGATTCATCATCAAAGGAGGTTGATTTTCAAAATCAAATGGTTCTTTGTACTATATTTACAACTTCTCTGTAAATCTTAAAAGTCAAATGGTTAAAGGTCTCTCATACATGTGCTGCTTTGTTTAATGACTGTTGTACTTGAGATCAAATATATCAAGGGTTTAGTTGTCTTCAATTAGAAAAGTCTTAAACATTGTACTTGTAAATGACATTAAAATTTTTTTTGATTGAAATATAGTTGATTTACAATGTTGTATTAGATTTTGCTGTATAGCAAAATGGATCAGTTGTAAATATACATATATCTACTCTTTTTTAGATTCATTTCCCATATGGGTCATTACAGAGTACTGAGTAGAGTTCCCTGTGCAGTACAGTAGGTCCTTATTAGTTATCTGTTTTATATATAGCTCAGTACAGTTCAGTTCAGTCACTCAGTCGTGTCCGACTCTTTGCGACCCCATAAATCACAGCACGTCAGACCTCCCTGTCCATCACCAACTCCCGGAGTTTACTCAGACTCACGTCCATCAAGTTGGTGATGCCATCCAGCCATCTCATCTTCTGTCGTCCCCTTCTCCTCCTGCCCCCAATCCCTCCCAGCATCAGGGACTTTTCCAATTTATATGTAGTAGTGTGTATATATTAATCCCAATCTACCAATTTATCCTGCCCCACTTACCTGCTGTAACCATAAGTTTATTTTCTATATCTTTAACTCTTTCTGTTTTGTAGATAAGTTCATTTGTACCCTCTTTTTAGATTCCACATCTAAGTCGTATTATATTTTATTTATCTTTACCTGACTTACTTCACTTAGTATGATAATCTCTAGGTCCCTCCATATCACTGCAAATGGCATTATTTCATTCTTCTTGTGACTCAGTATTACTCCAGTTGTATATATGTACCACATATTCTTTATCCAATCCTCTGTTGATGGATGTTTAGGTTGCTTCCATGTGCTGGCTATTGTAAATGGTGCAACAGTGAACATTAGGGTGCATGTATCATTTTGAATTATGGTTTTCTCCAGGTATACCAGTGGGATTGCTGGGTCATATGGTAGCTCTATTTATATTTTTTTAAGGAACCTCCATACTGTTCTTCATAGTGGCTATACCAATTTACATTCCCACCAACAGTGATTTTAAAGAACTCCTTGGCAGTCCAGTAGTTAGAACTCCCTGCTTCCACTTCAGGGAGTAGGGTTTCAATCCCTAATCAGGGAACTAAGATACTGCATGCTGTGAGGTACAGCCAAAGAATAAATGAATGATTTTGTATGTATTTATGGGTATGTGTGTATGTACAGAAATACACACACATATATATAGACTTCCCTGGTGGCTCAGTAGTAAAGAATCCACCTGCCACTGCAGGAGCCATGGGTTCAATCCTTGGGTCGGGAAGGAAATGGAAACCCACTCAAGGATTCTTGCCTGGGAAATTCCATGGACAGAGGAGCCTAGAGGGCTACAGTCCATAGGGTCGCAAAAGAGTTGGACATGACTTAGCAACTAAACAACAACAACAGTGAGTGTATATATATGTGTGTGTGTGTGTTGTATATTTATACATGTGTATGTTTGTATGTATATATATGCATGTAGGACAAGGGAGCCTGGCAGGCTACAGTCCATGCGGTCGCAAAAGGGTTGGACACGACTTAGCAACTAAACAACATCAACAATGGGTATATATGTGTGTGTGTGTGTGTACATATGTATGTTGTATGTATATATATATGTGTGTGTGTGTATAAAAACATATGCTGAAAAAGGACATGACAACTCACTCCAATATTCTTGCCTGGAGAATCCTATGGACAGAGCAGCCTGGTAGGCTACAATCCATAGGGTTGCACAGAGTCAGATACTACTGAAGCAACTTAGCATGCATGCATGCATAAACACATATATAACCACCAATCACCTTGTTCAACTTGCTTATTAATTTTGTTCATGGGGGGAGATTTTTGTATGTAGATTTCCAAATCATCTAGAAATAGAAATGGTTTTATTTTTTGCTTTGTAATTTGTATGCCTTTTATTTATTTTTCTTGTAGTTTTGCACTGAATAGGGCCTAGCATGCATGCTAGTATATTCATTTAAAAATCTAAAGTCAGAGACCACTTTGGCTCAATGACATGGTCTTTTTGACTGTGGAACTTGAGAATTGCTGATGTCACTTTCAAATTTAGACTTGTGAGGGTTTGGAGTGTTGCTTTTCAAAGAATTACTGAATCAAAGAAATGCTACTCACATTTCATGATGTATGCATATATTTGTTGATATACATATATAGATATATGTATACATATACATATATAGATATATATATAAAAGAGAGCTTGTGAAAAGATTTACTTGTTTCTCATATCTGGGCAGATAAATATTAAATAACAGAGTGGCTTCCTCAGTGAATGAACTTGGGAGAGATGGATAAGGAGCTTCTCTACTGCTTTTATTTATATACTCTTAAATATTTTCCCCAACATGTATTTGTTGTTTTTTAAATTAAACTAAAAAATAAAACATATGTCACATACAACAGTTTTTAAGAAGCACTTGTTTCTCAAAGCTGAGTACTTGACTTTCTGTTTTGATGCAACTTCTGTAATATAATCTGTTAATAAGCTTTCAAGTGCTTCTCTGTGGCTAACACTAGGAGTATAGTCTGTGAGGAATAAGAAAGTTTATAATATTATACTTGCTCTGGTAGAGCATATTTTTCTTCACAGAGATAAGAATAACTTATTATGCAATTATGTCTAAACAGTGGTTAAGTTTAAAGATAGTTCAGTGTAGATTTGGATAGTAAGGAGGCCAAACTTTATACGATTGATGTGGGAGGAAATTGATTTCTGGTCAGATGAACTTTTGAAATGAGAGCATGGCAATAGCAGTGACCACTCTCCTAGTGCCAGAAAGCGTAGTAACATATTTCTTTAAATAGAAAGAAAGAATGTGTTAACTTTTAATTATTTCTTAAAATTTCTTTTATTTTATCTTCCAGGAATCTGTTTTGAACTACCGTTTAGATCCTCTTGGCATTGTTGATGGCTTTACCGCAGAGGTAGGGGCAAGTGGTGTCTTCTGCCCCACCCATTTGACTCTCCCAGTTGAAGTGTCATTCTACAGTGTTTCTGACGATAATGCTCCCTCTCCTTATATGGCAAGTATTTTTCAATTGTCTTCTGCTGAAATCAACCATCTTAATGACAAATGCCTTTAAGTTTAAAATGATTTAGTACTGCTTTGGTGCAGTGCTTGAAAATATAAAGCATTTCCTAAGAGGGGATTGAGGGCCACATAGAGACCAATATGCCAAAACAGCACCTTACAACTTCTTTCTGAGCAAGCTCCAACGATAGGTATCCTCTTCTGTATTTGAGATGATGCTGAAAATTTGCTTGTTTTTATATAATTTGAAAAATGATAAAATTTTGATTAGTGATGCTATAATTCCATATCTTGCTGAGTTCACACAAATTCTTAAGTCCTTACTGTGCACTCTAGTCCTATCAGAGTTGCCTTCACTATGATCCTCATCTCAGTAGAGTTTAAAGATTTAGTGACCTACGTTTTCTGTGAAACCGTTTCCCTCCCTTTCTCCTGTTTGGTTTATCTTGGGACCATTTTTTTTTTTCCAATCCCAATCCTAGGATTCCTAAAACAGACGAGGATACTATATTACACAGTTTATTTCTTTAGCTCTGAATGTGGCCTGGTGTAGTTTCTTGAAATTGATGGATAAATTGGCCCAGACCTGGGGAATGCCAAGGGTGAGACTTTACACCAGAAGCCACCTGTTTCCTGAGGCTCTGACTTGAGAGCTTCTAGCAGCACAGCCCTGTGATCAGAGGTAGGGGAGAATGAGTAATCTGTGCAGGGTATGCAAGCTGATTTATGACAATTGGCCACAAATGCAAGCTATTCTGAATCTACCCTCAGGACTGCAAATGAGTTTGCCTGCTTGCTAAATACAGCCAATAACATCAAGTAGAAATGAATTTGAACTTCTCTGGTGGGTCAGCGGTAAAGAATCTGCCTGCAATATACGAGATCTGGGTTCAATCCCTGGGTCAGGAAGATTCCCTGGAGGAGGGCATGGCAACCCACTCCAATATTCTTGCCTGGAGAACCCCGTGGACAGAAGAGCCTGGTGGCTACAGTCCATGGGATTGCAAAGAGTCGGACATGACTGAGCGACTGAACAACAGAACCGGATTTTTTAGCTCAGTGGGCATGAATTTGAGCAAACTCCTAAAGACAGTGAAGGACAGGGAAGCCTGACGTGCTGTAGTCCATGAGGTCTCAAAGACTGCATGACTGAACAACAAGGTTCTTTAGAATACTAGCTATTTCTGACTCTATGCCAATGTTTTAGTGGAGAGTGAAACAGCTCAGGGGAATAAGAGCAGTGTCTTGAACCTTAAGATCCTATAATTTTATCTTTCTCATTTTTTTATTCCAGCAGATTTGAGGATAAAATAAGCCCTCAACTGCAAAAATGATACCAGGTCCTGGTGTGTGATTACTGTCAGCCCCTTTCCAAAAGACAAGTCAGTGGCTACTAATACAAGTGTTTAAGAAGTTTACACTGATGGTATAAAATATGGAGTCAGATCAGGATTTTTATGTTATGCCTTACTTTGGGAAATATAAATTTCAATAGACATAGAAATATATATTTCTGGTCTTCCTACTTGAGTTTCCTAGCTTATCACCTGATCCAATTTCTTTCTTTCCTTCTTTCTTTCTAATATCCTTCTCCCCCCATCTTCTAGATTCTCAAGGACATTAGCAACAGTACCTTTTGTTATGAATAAAAGCTATGAAAAGGGAATTCTATTATGTAATTGAGAGTCAGGAGTCTGATATGTGTTTCATACTTTAATTAAAAAAAAGCACAATGATATGTAATCATTTATTCAAAGTTTTCCTTTTTTGATAATAATTATATTTGTGAGTAGTAATCATGAAGATGCATAACAATGGTTGTTACAAAAAACAGGCACAGTTCTTCACAAACCTGCCCAGTTATCATATACACCAAATGATATTCACTTAACATAGAAAGATATATCCACTTTTCAGTATAATTTTGAAAAAAAAGCTGTTAATTTTAGATAATAAAATGAAAAATATCATTGAGATATCATTAAGATAAGCTCAATATAAAAAAAATGTGTATCATACTGAATGCTTACAGTATTAGAATACATTTATAAAGATGCCCGTTTCACTTTACTAGAACATCAAGGAGTCTCATTAGTTTCACATATTCTGTTGGCACATACTAATACAGAAGTGGAAAGATAAGGTCTAAGGTCATTAGTATACCGAGTTCCTGATGACCGTTCGGGGAGTTATAAACAAGATAAAAGAGTGAATTGGCTGAAAATTAGCTCAAAAAGTATCTTGGTGTGAAATTCATGAGCAAGAGGTAATTTGAACTGTGCTTTAAAAAAAGCAAAACAACATTTATCCTTGACCTTAAAGGATTAAGAGGTAAAGGATTTTATCATTCTGTCTCCAGAAAGTACATCCAGGTGATCACAGATTTTTGAATAAATATTGAAAAGATTTTAAATCAGGTTAAGTTAGTGTATCCTTTAAGAATCTCTTACTTTTCTCTGATAATTGTCTTTAATAAATAATTCCTTTAAGATTAGCTCAAAGCCAGATAAATATCTCTCTACAGTCTGGTGTTAATGGTAAGAATATTCTCCAAGTGTTAGGTAATGTGACATTTCACTGTTTAGAAACTATTGCATGGTGATACCAGTTAGAAAGGTCTAAAGCAGGTTTGCTCATGGCAGCGTCATGGTATGACTTGCATTATGATCATATTAACAACACTATAGGGGCTTCTCTGGTGGCTCAGTGGTTAAAAAAAAAAAAATTCAACTGACAATGTAGGAGACACAGGTTCAATCCCTGGTCCAGGAAGACCCCACATGCCGTGGAACAACTAAGCCTCTATGCCACAACTATTGAGCCTGTGTTCTAGAGCCCAGGAAGCTCAACTACTGAGCCCATACACCACAACTCCTGAAGCCTGTGCTCCCTCGAGCCTGTGCTCTGCAACTAGAGGAGCCAGCACAGTGAGAAGGCCGCACGCAGCAGAGAGTAGTCCCCGCTCACCGTAACTGGAGGAAAGCCTTCCTGGCAACGCAGACCCAGCACAGCCAAAGATAGGTTAATTGATTTTTAAAAAGCAACACTATATACTTTATATATTTTTTCTATTTGTAATTAGCCATATTAAGATATCTTCCTTCAGTTTTATTTAGTTTTGCATATTTTCTATTATTCAATCACTTGAGAAAGAGTTTTTGTGTAAGATTTTGACCAAATTGAGTTCATCTTAATCCTTCTATTTCATTCTAAAATGCCAGAAGGAAATGTGTTTTTCTTCCTTATGTTATATACAGTAATTTTCTAGGTATAAATATTAATATGCCAACCAATTAAAATAATGGAATTGTTAAAATAATAAATTTAATAATAATATGAATGAAATTCCAAATACTTTCCTAATCTCTTTTAAAATTCCTAACTTGCCATTGTCAACACTAGTCTTACATTGCTTAGAAATTTTGTGAAGTGTTACCTTAAATTTGAGGTTTTAGAAAAATCTATATTCTTCCCTTATAAATTGATTTATTGTTATTATGTTCTAAAAACTATTAGAATTATATTAAAGGAAATAAGTGCCGGCTTGGTAGTAGATTTTCCCTCACCAATGTTCTTATATATATTTAACAGAGGATGGCAAGGAAAAACAGTAGTGTATTGCCTGGAGTAATGTGATTAGAAACGTAGCTATTATTTAGATATATTTTGCTTTTCTTTCTGGAACTAGGAAAAAGAGGAGCACTATATATACCATAGCATTTTTTCATATAGAGAAAATTGTAAGAGAAAAATTATTAAAGCTTCATTACTGTTTTGGTTAGGGACGCAGTTTGTTAACATGCTGGTTTCATGATTTAAATGACCATTGATATATCAGATTCATTAAGAACCACATGTCTTTTCAGTGCCCTTGAACTGAACATGAACATTTCCCGTTATTAACATATTAATTTAATATTCTGATTGTCAAATGCTGTTCACTTGAAGGTTAGGTATTCACATATTAGAGTCTGGCCTTACCTTTTACCTTTGTCCCCTTGCTTTTATCCCCCACCCCTACCCCTGGTCAGTCTTTCAAACCCAACAGAGATATTACCTGATGGGACAGTCCTGTTTTATATTTACTTTTACTTAAGGTTAGCATGTTTTGGCAAGTACAATGTAAAATGATGGGATATGAATTGTAGAGCATGCAATTATTCTACTTGAATACTCAAAAGATAACTATTTACCCAGTTAATTTTCTTGAAGCTGCCTAAGAATTAAGTACCACAATCACCATCTGTAGTCATTTGGTCATCCTGGTTATCTAGAAACTTTCACACATTCAGTTGAGCTTCCTGTGTTTCAATTTATACTGTTTGCCATTGTTTGGACTTCTGCAGTAATTACAGCATCTTTCACAGAAAATTATTTTGTGTAATATGACAGTACCTCTCAAACTTTAATGTACATATGATAGCATCTGGGGAATGTTGTTAAAATGCAGATCTGATTTAGTAGGTGTGTGGGGAGAAATAAGAAATTCTGTGTTTCTAACAAGTTCACAGGTCATGCTGATGATGCTGGTCCACCTCAAGTCAGAAATTCATTTATGTATATAACAATTTAATTTTCTGACTGAATAATTGACTTCATTTTTTGGGCCAGACATAAACAGGATCATCCCTCATTTCTGACTTTTCATATGTCCAAAGATCAATAAATTGCTTTGCTTCTTTGCTTTCCATATGATACAAGAGAGTAATCTCCCTTTATCTCCTTTTTAGTTAAGGAACTTCTTACTTCTATATCTTATATCTTAACAGAAATTTCAAGCAACATGGTCATTGATGTTATATATTGTTTATTGCAACATCTCCAGGAGAAATAGTAAATTCTTTCCTTATGAATGAAATCCTATTTTGTATTCCTTGAATGTATTTCTATTAATTCCCATGTGAATTTTTTTTCCATACAAATACAGTTGTGAAAAGTTATTAATTACATAATGTATTATTTTTATTTTAGTCTTTTGTGTGTATATATATATGCATCAGTTTGTACTCAATTTGTCTTCTTTTATTTCAAGGGTGTGATTACTTTAGAGTCCCTTGGTAAAAGGGGTTATCGAGTACCTCCTTCAGGAACAATACAAGTGGTATGTGTTTTATAGCCTACAATTGCAATAATCATTCTCTCACATACATATAGAACTTAGCCCTTTCTCCTGCTACTGCTGCTGCAACAACTTTGGTAAGTAACAGTGGGGCTGCAGCTTTGTTTGGAGTTCCCCTGCTCTGCCTCAGGAATGACCATTTGGGGACCTCCATAAAAGGAAAGCATTAATAAGCTAATCAAGGTGAATGCTTTAGAAAAATAGTATATGACAGTTAACATAACTTAAATAGAGCTATTTTCAGTATAATTAGAATTTAGATTACCACTATCTTCTATTTAATATAATAAGACAGATTGGGATTGACCCATGTAAAAGGAGACCCCAAGTATTAGTATTGCTTTAGCAGGGAACTTGGGAGGAAAAATTATCCCTACTATAATAATTCCTAAAATTGATTTAATGAGATGGTTACACAAAGCAGAAATGAAGTCCTGCAGACGTCAGGGTAAAAAATGCATCTTTCCTTTCGGCCTAGATGTTGATCTAGTTTTGCCTTAGGAGAACTCTTCTAGCCCAGTGCAGTAATCCTTCATTATCTTTGATCCACAGCACTTAGAAGAGTAATTTTATATAAAGACCCATTTGTGATTCAGTCCATCTCCAAGTCAGACCCAGGATAATCTTGTGAGTCTAAAGTCTATTACAGTATTGACTCTTGTAACTCTTTTCAAAAGAGTCTAGCTGTATTTGTCAACTGTACCTCAATAAAACTGAAATTAACAACAACAAAAAAAAGAGTCTAGCCGAGTTCCTCACACTAAGGATCTGGTCTAATTCAGCAAGCCTTTCTATGACTTTTGGCTGCAGTGTGCTCAATTCTTTGTCAGACCACTTTTATGCATCCCCATTGTTCTAGTATGGCAGAGTCTGTACATTTGTTTATTTTGTGTCACACAGAAATGAAACATAGTACTAAGCAATTTATATGCATGTTTATATTGGAGTATGTATACATATATATAACTTAGGAAAAATCATCGCATTTTAAAGTAAGATTTTTATGTGAATGGATTTCTTGAACTAAAAGAGTGATCATCTTCTGATCTCTTGCCTCTGGCTATGTAGCTCTTGTGAAAGTGTGGGTCACTGGAAAACTAGCTATCAGTTGTCATAATAATGAGGCATAAACCCAGAGGCAGCACATTTACCCCTTGTTTGAAGACTGCCAACTCTGCTGGCTATTTTAAATCTGAAACTTGGGTATGTCTTTCATTCCTTATGTAAGTTTAATTATATATAAACATGGCTTGAACTTCTGGCTTACTAGTTGTTGTAGTTGTTAAATATATTAGCCTTAATTTTAAGACTCACTAAATTTCAAAAATTGGATCATAATATTGATATATTTCTCATTTTGATTCAGTGAGTGATGTCCAGTGCCACGGATGAGCTTCTGAAAGCATGGGCACCAAGTTACCTATTGATGTGTTGGTAATTTGGTTAAAGTCAAATCAGCAGCTTGGAATTTTGTTTAAAAATTAGTACTTTAAAAAAACAATATTCCTTCAGTTATTCATGGCCAAATAGTGATTGAATTTAATTTTGGTCTATTATGATATTGATGGTGGTAAAAAAAAAATGTATAGTGTCACTGAAGTTTCTGAAATGAATCTAACTGTAAGAACATAAATTATTACTTAGAGTGTACTTTGTAACTAATAATACTTTGAACTTTATTTTCTAAACTTGGAAAAATTTCCAAATAAGAATTTTTTTTGAGAACATATTTTAAATTTTATAATAACCGTATGTACCTAAAACATCAAAGTCTAGTTTTACCAAACTTTTTATTTTAAAAAAATTCTATTTATTCACTTAAAATGTGAGAAAAGCTGAAATGTTATTTTGAACATTTTGCAGTTAACGCATTTTAATAAAGTAATATTTGAAATATTTGAACTGGAATGTTTTAATTCAGTGAAGCTGTATTTTGTTTAATCTAATGGAACTATTTCTTAATATATGAACAAGAGCAAAAGTTGTGTATTGTCTATTATTAATAAGAGATTTGTGACTAAAAGATTTTGATTTGTTACAGGATCTCTTATTTCTGTAAATAAAAAAATAAATTGAACCACTAAAAATACTGAATATCATTTCATAAACTTCTGAAATTTTATTAGCTTTATTCCCTCAAACTGAATTATATCCACTGGGATTAATTTATTATTACAAAGCCTATTTTACTGTTGGCATAATCATTTTAAGTCTAATCAACAAATCATTGTTTTTAAAAAATAATTTGTATATTGTTTCTTCAGACCTTATTTAATCCTAATAAGACTGTGGTGAAGATGTTTGTTGTGATATATGACTTGCGAGATATGCCAGCCAATCATCAGACATTCCTACGACAAAGAACTTTTTCTGTACCTGTTAAACAAGAAATGAAAAGAAGTGTTAATAAAGAGAACATCAGACATACAGAAGAACGGTTATTACGCTACCTCATACATCTGAGGTAATGTTCTAAATGAATATGAAAATAGATTATTTCAGAAGAAAACTTTAGAATTTTTACTTTATTTTAAAAAACTCTCTCTCTAACTAGACAAGTGCCCCTTGGAATTTGCTTAACTTGGACACTCTTTATGATACACCAGGATGCAGAAAGCACATGCCTTATTTTTTTGCAGTCATTATTACTTGTTGACTTAGGGGAGTTTTTATTGGTAGCTGTGTAATGTAAAATATTTTATAGCAAAAAAGTGCTAATATATCTGGAGGGGCAGTGAAACAGTTTTCTGAAGCAATGCTGCCCAATTAGGAGTGTAATATGACCCATATAAATAGTTCTATATTTTCTAGTAGCCACATTTATAAAAGTAATAGGTAGCAGAAGATTAACATGTTTTATTTAACCTAACACATTCAAGTGTTATAATTTGAATATGTAATATACATAAAAACTATCAGTGAGATATTTACGTTCATTTGCTGTCCTCAATTTGAACTAGCCACATTTCAAGTGCTCAGTAGGTGCTTGTGGCTTCTGAGTTGGACAGGGAAATTCTTAACCTTCATTTATTCATTCATTCATTCAAAAAATATTGATGTGTCAGGTATGCTTCTAGACTGTAGGGAAGCAGCAGTGACAAAAATCTCTGTTCTCATACAGCTTATATTCTGGTTATTCTGTCAGAAATATGTTTTCCTCAAACTTTTACTACCCAGCTCATAGCTCTAGGTTGTGAGAAACAATTTGTTTGCTCTTGAAGTTCATGCTTCCAGTGGTAAGCCTTGTAGCCCTGATATCCTAGTGCAGTTTTTAGGTTCCGTGAGGAAGTCTGTTGCTTAGTAGAAAGCTCAATAGTCTTTTGTCCATAACTCTACTCCTAATAGTAAGCCCTCAATCAGGGAGGAGACTGATCATATCAGTGACAGTAATTCATCTTAACTTCTTACTCCAAGAAGCCCCATTCATCAGGAGAAGGTACCAGTCATTTCTTTAATCTGTTGCAACAACCTTAGCCATATGTAACCAATGATTAGATACCTTAAATGCTGTAAAGAAACTATTTTAGAAAGTATGGTGTAATTCCCAAAGTTCACCATGTTCTTTTTCAGATTGAAAAGGTGAAAAACTTCAGAAAGAATGAGTGAGCCAGCCTGAGGTCTGCTTTAATGTATACAACTGACCACCAGATTTTTCAGCTAATTTGGGAATGTCATCCACAGTCCCAGATATTTCTACTATACAAAGGGAAAAACCACAAAAATTATCTCTAAAGGGTATGTCTAACATACCCATAATCTGCCAGATAGATTTATGTGATTGAAGACTCCAATCCCTGTAGCATGCCATAGATGTTAGCAGAGGACAGAAGCAGTTCCATATACAGCTTTGATAACCATTTTCGTTTCACTGCTAACTTTCTCCCCTTGATTTCTGTTGATGATTCGGCTTGGCTAGCTGCTACGGATGGTAGCAGTCCTTTCTCATCCTGTGGTTGTCCTCAAAGCTTGATACAGTTTTCCGTGGTAACTTTCCAAGTGTGGAATCCATTTTATTGTAGGCAAAATTGTAGGAGGGCAGGTTGTGTGATATGGGTTATTCTCTGTATGAACTAGAGGATGCCCAAATGTAGTATAATTGGCTGACATGAACTGAAACTTCATGCTATAGATGAGGAAAGGTGCATGTGCTTTGGTGTCAAGAATATAAAGTAGGATTGTATGTGAAACCCAGATTTACAGAAAGCACCTCTGTCATTGTAAGAGGGAAAAGGGAGTGTGGAATGTGTATGGAATAGTGAAGGGGAAGCATTTAACATAGCAGCACTTGCTTTTGGCAATATAAGATGTCAAATATTTTGTTAAAGAGGGACTGTTAATACTGTAACAAGACTAATTCCACTTACAACTTTCAAACTCAAAACTTACTTGGGTCTGTTTGTTTTAAACACTTATTTCCTGAAATGAAGCATCTTTTGTTGTTTCTTTGCTTAGGTTCCAGAGTTCTAAATCTGGAAAGATCTACCTCCATAGAGATGTACGGCTCCTGTTCTCTAGAAAGTCAATGGAAGTTGATAGCGGTGCTGCATATGAACTCAAATCTTACACTGAATCGCCAACAAACCCTCAGTTTTCACCAAGATGTTGATAAAAGAGTGACAGCTTAAAGTATTTGCCCACTACCCAAGTTTGAAAGTAAAAATTAGCATAGAAAGGAGTGTACCAAATTAACAAGCAGGAGAGTGGATCTTCTCCTGTTTTCCTGGACCAGTTTTTAATCAAAGGATTCCTGGAATGAGATCTACATATTCCAAGTAGACTGGAAACACTCATGTCCTAATCCTTTTTGTACTGTTGAAACCACTTCATTGGACGTGTTGCAATAGCAAACCCCCTCCCCCCCACAAATTAGATTAGTGTTTACACTTTTTATTTCTCAGTTATTTAATATTTAATGTTTTCCTTAATACTCAAGTGATGTTTGTCTCTAGTGTTCTAATGTAGCACAAATCCTATGTAAAATCATACTGTGTATTTTTGACATTACTGTTGAAATCTGAAATATATGCACAAGTCTTTTAATTTTGTGTGATGTGTTTTAAGTACTATTCATTTAAGTTATTGAAAATGAGAATGAAATGTTGAGCTTCTTTAAGATTAATGCACTATGCAAGCATGTGTACTTTTTATATCTCCCAGGTTTAGTTTTTACAACACCTCGTCCCGATTGCTGTCTCACACAGTAGTCCTGTACCATGCTGTCTTGGCGGTGCAATGCAGACTAAGCTGCTTCACATTCCCTTTGCAATCTCAGATCATCATGCCCATTCATAGTCCTTCTAAAATCTCTTACTCCCAAAACAGTTCTATTTTTTCCTTAATCACCACTACAGAGGATTTACCTTAAATTGCTGTCCCATTCTAGATAATTTTTGCAAATTGTTAAAAGAATATGTACTTTGAAGACAAATTAGTATTTATATTGTAAATATATGCAAGAAACAAAGAAATGTGTATTTGGCTTTTATTTTTGGATGAGACATTTATGCTATTGAGTGAATTTCTGGTACCCATCATACAGTTTCTATTCTAGCTTTACAGCTGATAAGAGGAGAGGGAAGATGTCTTGAGCCTCATTCTAATTTATCAGTTTCTCATTCAGGGTCACATGGAAGGCATTTGGCAACTGGGAAAACCACTGAGTAAGAGAACTTGATTGAATGCATCAAAGTTTTCCATCCCCCTCAGAAAGAGGAGTAGTTTTAGATCTTTCTACAGGGACAATGGGTAACAGTGGATCAGCTAACAATGGATGAATACTGGGAATGCCCAAAGCCATGAATGCAGGTTCTCTCTCAGGGTTTCTTTCTCTCTACTCTCTTTTCCTTCCCATTCCTCTCCTTCCTTTCTTCTCTTTTTTTGTTACTGATGCTTCCAGATTTAAGGAAATAAAGATTTAAACATAGCTTCTATATATGAAAAAAAAAAAAAAAAGAAAATACCTACCGTTCAAGTAGACCAGATTTGGAACACCTGGGAGTCTAGAGCTAAGTGAGCAGTCTTGAATTTGGGAGATGGGAGGGTCTTTATTTTTGGTACTCAGCTAATGGATAGACTATGCAGAAGAATCTAAACTGGATATGAATGTGTATCTGATGGCTTTGGGGGTGGTCAGCAAGAAGCCTCTTATAAATTTCCTTTTGAAATACCAGCTTAAAGAGAAAAGGCTATTTATATTCCATAAAACTAAAAAATAAAGTTTTCAGTGGCACAAGTTTGTAATGATTTGTTCTTAATCTTTAGCCATGTGGTAACAACATGGGATTAGGACCCAAAAGGTTTGGATTCTAGTCCCAGTTCTAATGGTATCTGACAGAACTGACTTCAGAAATCCTCTAACTTTCTGGGTCTCTGTGATTGAGAAAGTGAGGTGAGAGTATCACTAATGTGCCTTTTCTTAAATTCCATCAACTAATTATTAGCATAAGTATTTAAATACATGTAGCTAGAGTTTTTTTTAAAAATTTGTTGGAGTATAGTTGATTACAGCATTGTGTTAGCTTCAGGTATATAGCCAAGTGATTCAGTTATACATATACATCTATATCCACTCTTTTTAAGATTCTTTTCCCATATAGGCATTATATTGTGTAGAGTTCCCTGTGCTATATAGTAAGTCCTTATTAGTTATTTATTTTATATATACTAGTATGTATTTGTCAATCCCAATAGACTTTTTATACACTTGACAAAAGTCAGTATTGATCATTTTATATAAAACTTGGAAAATACCAAACATTTAAAACATCAAAATGCCTTTTTTTTTCATTAAAAAAGTGTTATTGCTGCATTAACCTCTCTAGTAATCCAAAAGTTAGTGATATATATGTTTTCAAGTGTCTTTTATGTAGATACCACAATGCAGTCTTTCTAGAATATTTTCTAGTGCTTGGTTTTCCTCCTTTCTGAACATTTTAAAGAAGATTTCAAGAAAATGACTGAAGTAGCTGGAAGCATCTTGTGCTCTTCCTGCCAAGTTTGTCCATGGTAAAGACATGCTGACCTTTTACCCACCTACTTCTTAGGGCCTTTTTTGTCTGTGTTCTTTTCCCCTGTGAGGTACGGTCACCCAGCACCCATCCGCTCTCACTTGCCCTGAACTGTCTCTATCATAACGGTTTTTTCCCTACCCTTCTTTTGTCATAGGCCAAGACTTTGTACTCCCCCTCTTTGTACTCATAGATTATGTCACTGCATTGAGAGTGTTTGACATATGCAGGTAAGACAGCCAACACTGCTACCTGTGAGAGTTCTCATCACTTACTGCAGGCTCACCTGGAAGTTTTGCAGACTGAAAAAATGAGGGGTAACTTCTTTTTAAAAGGAACTTAAGGACACAAGTAACCTCTGGGAAATCTTTGGAGATTTTTTTATCAAGAGAAAATGAAAAATATTAATAAATGATGACAATGGGGACTGGCTGGGAGGCACCCAACAGAAGCTTCCCTCCTACTGTCATTTTACTCCACCAGGTCTCTCTCATTCCCAGAGTGTTGATGAAAGGAAGTAATTTCTCCAAAAACTCCATCCTTGGGATCCCCACTCTTCTCTAATCAGTTTGTGAGTGAAGCAATGATTTGATTTTAGTTTATGCAATGCATGTTTTAAAACTTTTTACACTGCATAGTTATGTAAAGTAAATGTGAGAGTTCCTCCTGTCATCTGCCCTTTTAGCTATCACTTTACAGAGATGGTAGCTGTTCAAATTTTGCTATAGGAAACCTCAATTGTTCTACTGGACCTGGGACACAATATGAGTCTAGATGGGAAGTAGGCTTTTCATCATGATAGGAATTCACTCTCAATCCCTAAGACTGTCTCTGTGTGGGTTGGAATCAACTTACTCCATCATGGATTATCTGTGAGAGATTTATGTCTTAAATGTGAATACTGTGGGAAGAGTCAGGGAGTATATGAATGCCTACTGTGTGCCAGGTTCTATAAGTGATTTCTATGTTATTCAGTATTAAAGCCATGATTCAGAGAGTATGGATATAATCTACAGTGAAAGAAAAAACAGGCTTGAAGTACTTGCCCAAGGTCACATGGTCAGTAAGTTGAAGAGCCAGGATTCAAATCTCAGTTAAAGCTTCTGACTTTTCCATTCAACTACTAGTATTTTGCCCCTTTTTTTCTTTTCTATCTTCTTTTTTTTCTTTTAACTGGTAACCTTGGCCTGGCATTAAAATATACTTTTCATCAATATTCTTGGCAAAGAAAGCTAATTTGCTCTGAAATAAGATATATAATAAGGCAATGCCTTAAGTTTTAAAAGTTTCTTCCAGACCCCACTGTTCCTCATTCTTTTGAATTCATTCAGAAATTTCCTATTCCAGCCTTTCTAGTTCATATAAAGTTCTTATATCTCACTGAATCCTACTTCTAACAGTCAAGTTGTTGAAACTTTTCTTTTTACAGTTATCTGACCTACTTAGTCAGGTAATGTTCCCTGAATTTTGTTCACAGATATCACTATTTATACTCAGGGTTTCTGCCATTCTGTATCTCATTTGGTTTCCCTGAGTTGATCTTCCAGTCTTTCCCTTTCATTAAAAATGTATTGTGTTCATATCATACAATATCATTTATATGTGGAATCTAAAAAATGATACAAATGAACTTATTTACAAAATAGAAACAGACTCACAGACATAGAAAATTTATCTTTACCAAAAGGGAAGGGGAATAGGGATAAATTATGAGTTTGGGATTAACAGATACATACTACTGTATGTAAAACAGATAAACAATTAGGACATACTATATACTGCAGTGAACTATATTCAATATCTTGTAGTAACCTACAGTGGAAAAGAATCTGAAAAGGAACATATATATGTATATACATGAATGAACACATATATATGAATCACTTTGCTGTACCCCTGAAACTACCACAACATTGAAAATAAACTGTACTTCAATTTTAAAATGCATTCTGTTCTTGATATTTGATACAACACCAGCAGTGATGCAGGTAGACCTGAGGAGTGGATTGGATGTAACATCTTACCTGCTTTACTCGCTCCTACAAACTCTTGAACTAGGGCACCTAAAATGCAAAAAGACCCCTGATCTTTTAAAAATGTTTATATACCAAGTTCCAAGACTGAAAAATCCTATGTGCATGTATGCATCAGAATCACAAGGGGGAGCTTTGGTTAAACATCAATTCTTTTGACTTCGCCCCAGATTTAATGAGAATCTCTGTTACTAGGGTTTCTCAATAATTCTAATCCTTATAGCCAATTAAATTAAATTGAAAATTCACTTCCTTAGTTGTGCTAGTAACAGTTCAAAGGTTCATTATTCATATATGGCTAGTGGCTACTCTGTTGACTAGTTCGTATACACAATGCTTCCATCATTACATGAAGTTCTCTTGGACAGCACTGATCTAAAATATATATATATGACTGTTGAAGCCATGAGGGTGGAAACAATTTCTCAGAACATGTAAAACTAGAAGAGAAGGGTATCCACGGACAGAATTGTTAAAATCCCCACATTAAGAGGCAGATAAAACTCAACAAAGGGGCTTTCCTGATGGTCCAGTGGCTAAGACTCCATGCTCTCAATGCAGGGGGCCCAGGTTTAATACATGGTCAGGGAACCAGATCCTACATGCTGCAACTAAGACCCAGTACAGCCAAATAAATAAAAATAAATAATAAAAAAAATTCAACAAAGGAGGTTAAGAAGGAATGACCAGACAAGTAAGAGAGAGAAAGTGGTTTCCTAGAAGTCAAGAGAAGAAAAGTTCTGAGAAACACGGAATTGGTGATCACTGTATAATTTTAAACATTAAGGTACATGGTTGATGATGCAAAAGGAACATTATTTTGGGAAGTATGGCCTCCCAGACAGTCCCCACAATGGGGCATTGGTCTTTGTAAATTCTACATTGGTCAAAATCTGCCCTTCAGAAATTCAAATTTGACCTTGTGAGTATCACTATCTTTCAGGACCAGATTCTCTTTATCTAAGGCTATATATACTGATTTTCTATATACATGTGTCTACTAGATTTTATCTCACAAATACACTGACATAGATATATACCACAATGTCAACTCAATAAAAATAAAATTTTAGTTGCTCAATAAAAATGTTAGTTACTTAAGTTAGCCTGACTTGTGCATTCTCCATTCTCCCTGTGCTCAGTTGCTAAGTCATGTCTGACTCTGCGACCCCATGGACTATAGCCCGCCAGGCTCCTCTGTCAATGGAATTCTCCAGGCAAGAATACTGGAGTGGGTTGCCGTTTCCTCATCCAGGGGATTGTCCCAACCCGGGCATCCAATCTGTATCTCCTGCATTGGCAGGTGAATTCTTTACCACTGAGCCCCATGGGAATGCCAAGAGGAATTTATACAGGGAGCCAAAAGAGGGGGTAAAATGGCTTTTGGGTTCACAATAGCTGGAACATTAACAGAACAGGCTGAGATTTTAACAGCATAACTTGCCCTCTTTTCCCTCTGTACTTTATCCAAGTCATCACAACAGTGTTCTCTATTAATTCCCTCATGCTGCTTCTTAATTGCAAGCTGCACAGCCCTAAGTCCTATAATTCTTGTTACTGTGATGGGACAAGCCCTGTAACAGTCAGCAGGGTTAAAAAAAGATTACAGAAGGACAAACTCACACACACTTTACTGGGAAAAGTGGGAGAAATGTCAAGTAATATTATATGTCACTGTTGTTTACGAACATGGTCATTTGTGTCCACACTTTCTCTTCTTCATATTAGTATTGGCCTTTAGGCACCTCATATTCCCAAAGTGATTCTTGGCTTCTCCTTGTAGGTCTGCATAGAGGAAAGGCAAGTTTTCAATAAGTTCTTTTGTAAGTATGAAATGAGAACAAATATTTAGTTGATCTTAAGCAGTTTCTCAGCTGGACCAGCTTAAGTTAATCTCAATAGAGATCCTTGTCAAAGAGTGGGCTCAGGCCCAGCATCTTGAACTGTATTATTTTAAATACTCCCTTGCCTGACAATCCCCATTTTCTTTCTCCAAAAGAAGTGCACCTTTTGTCTTTGAAGTTGCAACCCCAGTGCAATTTTTCCTGCCAGAGGTTCTGTTGAGAGCAAAAGCCAATTCTGACTCCATGTTAGAACTGTTTCTTTGACTTGCTTTTTGTTGCTTTTGTTATGATAATCATATACAATGGACTGCCTCATAGAATCCTGCCCATCTGCCTGACTGGTGAAGTGCCTTCTTCCAGAACCCTGTTACATGTAGATTGCAGGATGAAGGAAATTAACACATCCCCTTCCTGAGCCTTGCCATTCTAGGAGACATTTGCAAGAGTAACGGCCTTTTTACTTTGCTTCCTCATTTTCCCCAATCTCTGATCTATAAAAGAACCTGCCATTTATTTATTTATTTTAGATTCATTGACCTGTCCTGCAGCCAGCATAGACAGCTTGGACTAGGGTACAATTTTACCCAGGGTACCCTGGTTTGAGTTTTGATGGTTACCAGATTCCCATAGAATTGCATTATCTGTTGCTTTTAACTAACTTAACCCTTAGAAGGCATTCTTTTTTCCAAGTTTCATGAGAGAGGCTTCATTGGAACCACTACTTATTGCCAGTAGCTATTCAGATGTCAAGTAGAATATGGATTAAATGTAAAGCCAACGTTTTTGGCAATTCAAAATGTCATTGGAGGAGTTCGGTGCCAGCAGTTTAACTAAAGTGGGAATAGACCCCTGGGAATTGACAAATGAATGGAAGTTTACTTCCTTCTTCAGGTATTTATTGACTATCTAGGAATTGCTGGACTCTGGGGACAAAATATAAGCAAATATTGCCCTGATGTGGCTTGTCTAAACAGGAAATGTGACATTAATAAAGAAATCATAACAAACACTGTCTAATGATAAAGTGTGCATTCTTAAGCAACTATGCAGAAACATGACAATATTTAAGAGGCGACTCTGACCTAGTGTAGGGGCTCAAGAAAAGCCCGAGGCCTTGATGTCGGATTGGGGATGTTAAAGATAAATAGGGTGAAGTAGGCAAGGCAGAAACAATGAAGAGACGGAGCCAAAGCAGAAACAACACCCAATTGTGGATGTGACTGGTGATGGAAGTAAAGTCCGATGCTGTAAAGAGCAATATTGCATAGGAACCTGGAGTGTTAGGTCCATGAATCAAGGCAAATTGGAAGTGGTCAAATAGGAGATGGCAAGAGTGAACATCGACATTTTAGGAATCAGTGAACTAAAATGGACTCTGTGTGAATTTAACTCAGATGACCATTATATCTACTACTGTGGGCAAGAATCCCTTAGAAGAAACAGAGTAGCCATCATAGTCAACAAAAGAGTCTGAAATGAGTACTTGGATGCGATATCAAAAAGAACAGAATGATCTCTTTTCATTTCCGAGGCAAACCATTCAATGTTACAGTAATCCAAGTTTATGTCCCAACCAGTAATGCTGAAGAAGCTGAACTTCAACAGTCCTATGAAGACCTACAAGACCTTCTAGAACTTACACCAAAAAGAGATATCCTTTTCATTATAGGGGACTGGAATGCAAAAGTAGGAAGTCAAGAGATACCTGGAGTAACAGGCAAATCTGGCCTTGGAGTACAAAACGAAGCAGGTCAAAGGCTAATAGAGTTTTGCCAAGAGAATGCACTGTTCATAGCAAACACCCTCTTCCAACAACACAAGAGAAGACTCTACACATGAACATCACCAGATAGTCAATACCAAAATCAGATTGAATCCTTTGCAGCCAAAGGTGAAGAAGCTCTATACAGTCAGCAAAAACAAGAGCAGGAGCTGACTGTGGCTCAGATCATGAACTCCTTTTTCCAAATTCAGACTGAAATTGAAGAAAGCAGGGAAGACCACTAAACCATTCAGGTATGGCATAAACCAAATCCCTTACAATTATACAGTGGAAGGGACAAATAGATTCTAGGAATTATATCTGATAGAGTGCCTGAAGAACTATGGACAGAGGTTCATGACATTGTACTGGAGGCAGTGATCAAGACCATTCCCAAGAAGAAGAAATGTAAAACGGCAAAACAGTTGTCTGAGGAAGCCTTACAAATAGTTGAGAAAAGAAGAGAAGCTAAAGGAAAAGGAGAAAAGGAAAGATATACCCATTTGAATGAAGAGTTCCAATGAATAGCAAGGAGAGATAAGAAAGTCTTCCACAGTGATCAGTGCAAACAGAGAAAAACAATAGAATGGGAAAGACTAGAGATCTCTTCAAGAAAATTAGAGATACCAAGGGAACATTTCAGGCAAAGTGAAAGTGAAGTTGCTCAGTCGTGTCTGACTCTTTGCGACCCCATGGACTCTAGCCTACCAGGCTCCTCTGTCCATGGGATTCTCCAGGCAAGAATACTGGAGTGGGTTGCCATTTCCTTCTCCAGGGGATCTTCCCGACCCAGGGATTGAACCCAGGTCTCCCACATTGCAGGCAGATGCTTTACCCTCTGAGCCACCAGGGAAGTCCAGAGACACCAGGGAAGCCCAAAGATGGGCTCAATAACGGACAGAAGTGGTAGGGACCTAACAGAAGCAGAAGATGTTAAGAAGAGGTGGCAAGAATACACAGAACTGTACAAAAAAGATCTTCACGACCCAGATAATCATGATGGTGTGATCACTCACCTAGAGCCAGACATCCTGGAATGTGAAGTCAAGTGGGCCTTAGGAAGCACCACTATGAACAAAGCTAGTGGAGGTGATGGAATTCCAGTTGAGCTATTTCAAATCCCAAAAGATGATGCTGTGAAAGTGCTGCACTCAATATACCAGCAAATTTGGAAAACTCAACAGTGGCCACAGGACTGGAAAAGATCAGTTTTCATTCCAATCCCTAAGAAAGGCTATGCCAAAGAATGCTCAAACTACCGCACAGTTGCACTCATCTCACATGCTAGCAAAGTAATACTCAAAATTCTCCAAACCAGGCTTCTACAGTAAGTGAACCGTGAACTTTCAGATGTTCAAGCTGGATTTAGAAAAGGCAGAGGAACCAGAGATCAAGTTGCCAACATCCATTGGATTATTGAAAATGCAAAAGAGTTCCAGAAAAACATCTATTTCTGCTTCATTGACTATGCCAAAGCCTTTGATTGTGTAGATCACCACAAACTATGGAAAATTCTTCAAGAGATGGAAATACCACACCACCTGACTTGCCTCTGGAGAAATGTGTATGCAGGTCAGAAAGCAACAGTTAGAACTGGACACGGAACAACAGATCGGTTCCAAATCAGGAAAGGAGTACATCAAGGCTGTATACTGTCACCCTCCTTATTTAACTTAAGCAGAGTACATCATGAGAAATGCTGGGCTGGATGAAGCACAAGCTGGAATCAAGATGGGAGGGAGAAATATCAATAACCTCAGATTTGCAGATGACACCACCCTTATGGCAGAAAGTGAAGAAGAGCTAAAGAGCCTCTTGATGAAAATGAATGAGGAGAGTGAAAAAGTTGGTTGAAACTCAACATTCAGAAAACTAAGATCATGGCATCCAGTCCCATCACTTCATGACAAATAGATGGGAAACAGTGGAAACATTAAGAGACTTTATTTTTTTGGCCCCAAAATCACTGCAGATGGTGATGCAACCATGAAATTAAAATGCGATTACTCCTTGGAAGAAAAGTTATGACCAACCGAGATAGCATATTAAAAAGCAGAGACATTACTTTGCTAACAAAGTCCATCTAGTCAAGGCTATGGTTTTTCCAGTAGTCATGTATGGATGTGAGAGTTGGACTGTGAAGAAAGCTGAGTGCTGAAGAATTGATGCTTTTGAACTGTGGTGTTGGAGAAGACTCTTGAAAGTCCTTTGGCTTGTAAGGAGAGCCAACCAGTCCATCCTAAAGGAAATCAGTCCTGAATATTCATTGGAAGGACTGATGCTGAAGCTGAAACTCCAATACTTTGGCCACCTGATGTGAAGAACTGTCTCATTTGAAAAGACCCTGAAACTGGGAAAGACTGAAGGTGTGAGGAGAAGGGGACGACAGAGGATGACATGGTTGGATGGCATCACCGACTCAATGGACAGGAGTTTGAGTAAACTCTGGGAGTTGGTGATGGACAGGGAGGCCTGGCGTGCTGCAGTCCATGAGGTCGCAAAGAGGCAGAAACGACTAAGCGACTGAACCGAACTGAGGCAAGGCAGAGTGGGGAAAGACTTGTGAAGCACAGAGCTTTGGGGCGCCCGAAATTCTGTGTGTCCACGGCGCAGAGACGTAGGAGGAATGCGGAACTCAGCGAGTCTGGGGAAGTGGAAATAGGCAAGTTCTTGGATCCAAAGGAACGGACCACAATAGGCAGGCGGGGCGGGGAGAGGCGGTTATACGTTTAAACTACAGTTCCCAGGAAGCATTAGGCAGACGGATGTGAGGTTAGGCGCGAGCCGCGACCTTTGAAGGCAAGAAGGAAGTGCTTGGGCGTCGCAGAACTGGAGAAGCGGAGGAAGGTAGGCGAGGGCGCGGCGCTGGAGAGACGGCGGCCCGGCGGCGGGCCGCGGTGGTGGCCGCCCGCCGGGCGCGGCGGGCCTGCGTGTCGTCATAAGGCGGCGGCCATTTTCGGGGGCGGTGGCGGCCCGGGCGGGCGCCCGGGGAGCGGGCGGGAGGCGGGCGGGCCTGCGACGGCGCGGTGGTCGGGCGGCGTCGGCCACCCGGTAATCGCTCCTCTTCTCGGCCTCTCGTCCGTAGAGGGAGCAGTATGTCTGCAGAAGTCCCCGAGGCAGCCTCCGCGGAGGAGCAGAAGGTGAGTGTGCGCGCGTAGCGGGCCGGGGAGCCGTCGCTGCCGGGAACCCGGCCTGGCGGCGGCCTGGTCCCACCTGGAGCCGAGGGGCGCGGCCGAAGCCAGCCCGGCGCCGGTGCAGAGCGGGTGTGCAGCCCGCCCTCCCCTGGGCAGGCCCGTCACTCCCTAGTCGGCGGTCCGCAGGAGCTCGGGTAGTTAGCGCCGGCCTGGTGCCGAGTTGAGTGTTCGCGTTTGAAAAGTGCTTTTTAACGCCTCGGTGTCTCGGGATTTTCCTTAACCACTCATCTTTTCATTAGTGCCTGGAACCTTGTACGTGGAGCGTAAGGTTTCCCATGGGCTGCTGACTTAGGAACCTTTGTTTTTCCCTCGAATAACTAACTCTCCAACTACTTGTATTGTCTGCGCGCTTTTCACTTCAAAGGCGGTATCTCCTGTTTGGGCGGTGACTTAGACCTAGGTTGGAATTTCAGATCCAGTCATCGTTGGCCATGTAACCTTGGTCAGTTGCTGAACTCTTCTGGCTTTAGTCTCATCCGTAAAGTAATAGTAAGTCCTTGCTTGATACTGTTGTGAGGCTTAAACGCGCTGGGTAACTTTGTGCTTTGGCTCAGCGTGTGCTTAGAAATGTGAGCCAGTGGGATTCGCATATGACTAAAAATTGGGATGTATTTTTTTCTTTTTAACCGATTTAGTTGATCACTTTTTTGTGTGTGGAAACCTGGGGACATTTTGTAAATTCACTTGTAATATCTTGCTGGTGTAAAGAAATGTGCCACGAATCTGTGTGATTCAAATTACGAACATAAAGGCTTTATATTTGTATAGGCTAGCGCTTGCTTCTTCCACCGTAATTATTAAAGAATCAGAGGGCATTATCATAGATGGGATTTGGTCTAATACTTGGATTTTGTAAGGACTTCTGCTTAAGGTTGGCTTCCCTGGTGGCTCAGACGGTAAAGCGTCTGTCTGCAATGCAGGAGACCCGGGTTCGATCCCTGGGTTGGGAAGATACCCTGGAGAAGGAAATGGCAGCCCACTCCAGTATTCCTGCCTGGAAAATGCCATGGACGGCGGAGCCTGGTAGGCTGCTGTCCATGGGGTCGCTAAGAGTCAGACACGACTGAGCGACTTAACTTCACTTCTTCTGCTTAAGGTTACAGCCATGCCCCTAATGAGGCTGGAAATTTGATTAGTGTTCTAAACCCATTCCATATGTTCTTTACCATATTAACTTTTACTGAATTGGATGATTTTGTTATGATATTACTTGTAAAGTAACTGGAGAAAAAGCGTAAATAATAGGCCAAGTCACTACATTATTTGAAAATAGTCCAATGAAAATTTTGTTGGGTATTTTTCACACTTTGATAAAAATTGAACTTGAGAAAATACAGAGAAGTATATGTATCATATATATATACCATATATATATAAAGATTGCAATCATTTATCATGGTGTTCATTATTTCTTTAGGATTTACAAACCCAAATAAAATGGTCAAGCCACATCCCTGCTGTCTTGTCTTAAACACTAAATCAACCCCAGTTTCAACTGCTAATGTATAGTAATATGCTATGTAATTTTCCTTTATGAGATTTGCTAGTATGTTCTCAAAGCGTGGAGTGCTGATTTTTGCGTTGTAAATGTTTTCACTTGGGACAGCCTAATATTATGGCTCTTAACAAGATTATGGCTATCCTGAATGTTTTCTTTTTGTGTCTACATTAAAATTTTAATTCAGGTTCTCAGTTTTAGAGCTGTTGTCATTAACGCCAGTGTGAGTTAGTAATATAATGTCCCTTCTTGAATTAAGGTTTGGCTGTAGATGTTAAGTGCCCGTAGCATGGGTCCAGTCCCTAAACAGGAGGAGAATGTGCAGAGTCACTTCTGTGCTCCTGTGGGCCAAATCACCTGTTTCTTCTCTTTGGAAGAATAGTTAGATGACCTCAAAAAAATTAGATTATTGTCTGTGTACCCAGTTGACCTTGCAATTAAAGCCAGAGTAAGTCAGCTAAAATATTTTTATAGTTTTATGGTACGTTAGCCTATTGCCTCTGAAAAATTAAAATGAAGAGATGAGCCTGGCATGGAGTCACTATCTAATCTGAATTATTAATTCAGTGTGGCATTTTTTTTTTTTTGCTGAAACTGAATTTCTAGTATATTGAGAATATGGTAGCAGTTGTTAAAGTGCAGGAGATTTTTGAGTTTGGCAAGTTAACACTCTTCTGGACCATATGATCCTTCAGTTCTCCTTTTGTAAGAGTAGGCTGTGGTCTTAGGTACCTCATTCACATTTTAAATTCAGCTCTATTCTTTTTTCATTATTCTGGGCAAATGGAGTAGTAAATGAAAGCTCTGCAAAGAAGTACCACAGAGGTGCTTAAATGTAAGATGGTGATTCAGATACCCTAGAATATGCTTATATTGTTCTTTAGATGATCAGTGATGTGAAACCAAAACATATTAGCAGAGACCTCATGGATCCATCAGTCATCCAATTTGAGTAACAGTAAGCTGAGACAGGCATGCAGTCTGATCCTGGGGGTAAGAAGGGGCATGTGGAGATTTAAAACACATAATTCTGTAGTGAGCATCTTAAGCTTGGGCCCCTCCTTTATTTATCTTTTCTCCCATAGCCCCTAGCATAGCACCTGGCATTACTCTGAAAATGTTGGTAAAATGAATTTTTCTCCACACTTTCCGGTTGAACCCATTGTCAAAGCACTACACCTATACAAATGGCACTGCTAGTACTGCAGTTAGAAAAAAGAGGCTAGACCATGGTAATATAAAAAACCTTAGCTTAGACCCAGTTAAATCTGAATGAAAGTAGAGGAATGTTTTTATATATACATATATGTATGTATGTATGTGTGTGTGTATGTGTGCGTGTGTGTGTATATATATGTGTGTGTGTGTGTGTGTATAGTGGCTTTCAGGGCTTCCCAGGTGACTCTAGTGGTAGAGAACCCACCTGCAGTGCAGGAGACCTAAGAGACGAGGGTTCGATCCCTGGGTTGGAAAGATCCACAGGATCAGAGCATGGCAACCCACTCCAGTGTTCTTGCCTGAAGAACCCCGTGGACAGAAGAGCCTGGCAGGCTACAGTCCATAGAGTTGCACAGAGTCTGATACAACTGGAATGACTTAGCATGCACACACACAGTGGCTTTTAATTTTTTAAAAGAAGATCTTAATAGATTCTCTAGAAAACAGTTTCTATTATAACATTCATCAAGTTAAGTTAGTAAGATGTCTTGAAAAAGGCTAACTCGGATACTTTTGACAGTTTACAAAGTATGCTGGCCGATTTCCCTGGCAGTCCAGTGGTTAAGACTGCCCGCTTCCAATGCAGGGGGCATGGGTTTGATCCCTAGTCAGGGAACTAAGATTCTACCTGCCTTGTGGCCAAGAAAAAAAGATTACTGTTAATTTTAAAGAAAACCAGGGAGTTCCCTGGAAGATTAGTGGTTAGGATTCCGAGCTTTCACAGTGGAGGCCCAGGTTCAATCCCTGGTCCAGGACTCATCCTGCATGTTGAGCAGTGTGGCCAAAATAAAAGGCATGCGTGGTGCTTTTCTGAGTGGTGAAAGAGGAAGAGAAATATTGTTTAAATTATTTCATTATGTCATCAGTAAAGAGTGAATATAAATTGCCTTCCCATTTTCCAAGTTTTTGAAAAAACTGGTTAATATTGGCATTTTCTGAAACTGTTTTTGACAGTACCTTCGGTAAGCAAAAGGCTCAAGATGCATTCAGTTAGGAGCACAACCTGCTACTCTGGTTTGTGTACAGCCATTGATTCTTAGCAGTCTAGAGGTAAATCTCAGAAAAGTCTTGAAAAGTTTCTTAACTTCTAAAAACCATTTGGAATATATTGTATTTGTTCATTCAGTAGACTTTTATTGGGCATCCATTAAATGCCAGGCATTGGGCAAGCAGCAAGACTTGGTAGAACTACAGAGTTTTTCCATAGAGGTCGATAACAGTATTAGTACCTTCCTGACAGTATACCAAAGGATTTGTTGGCTTTCATTAATCAGTGCATCAGTGAACATACTATTGAGCAGATAGGGAATTTGTTCAAAGTGGTCAGATTTTTATTTGCTGATGTTGCTGTGTAACTTCCCTGCTCAGGGCCAAAGAGTGGTAATAATCATTCAAACTTGTGTCAGTTCCATGACAAACTATAAAATAATCCTTAATTATTTGAATATATGTTTGTGTATACATATATTTGTGTGTGTGTTTACACCTTATGCCCCTGCTACTTATAGAAAGGATAGCTAAAGTATTTCAGTGGAATAGTTCACAAAAATGTAAGTGCCTCACATTAGTAAATGTTAGGCCTTGTGCGAGTTGTAGAGTGTATGATGAAGATTATTTGGGGGCATGTTACTTGTCAAGAGACTAACTATCACTTAAAATATTGTTCTTTAATTTTTGTTTTTTTGTACATCATAAGCATATATCTGTTGCGATATCCTGGATTTCTCTTTCCCTAGTTCATAGGTTAGAGTAGAAGTTTCAAAATTCTAATGATGCTTCTTCCGCCCCTCCCCCCAAAGCTATTATCAGCATATAGAAACGACTTAGCTAAATGCAGTCACTCATTCTAGCGTCTGTTTCTTTAGAGTAGTAAAATTTCTGTGAAGCACAGAGGCTTCCTGGAGAGTAAACTTTTGAAACCAGATTTGAATTTTTAAGAATACTTTCTTCTTGGTTAAGCTTGTCATTTCCTCTCTGTTAAATTCTTTTTGTTGTATCTGTGTTTTGTATTTCATTCATTTCTTTTTTTTAATTTTCCCCTGTTTTCTTTGGGTTCCGTTCTTTGTCTTAGCTTCTTAAGTTAGACCTAGCTCGTTGAGTTTTAGTTTTCTTTAAGTCCTTAAACACTTCTGTTTTGCAACTTTGGTATGTGTAGAATCTTTATTATCAGTGAGCTCCAAGTATTTGTTCTATTCCTATGATTCCTTTTTAAACCATGAATTACTTAGTAATGTATTTTAGTTTCCAAATGACAGGGAAATAATTGACCTTTTGAAATAATTGACTTTTAACTTCTGAATTGTAGTTGTAGATTGTGGTCTGGATGGAAATGGTTTTGGCCTAATATTTAGTCAGTTTTTCCATTTGTCCTTAAAAAGAATATGTTGGGTGCAGAATTAAAGTCAAGTACCTTGACTCCTTTGTCTTTCTTACCAATCTGTATGAGAAAGAGGTGTTGAAATTTCCTATGCTGATAGTCTTGTCATTTGTTCCCTGTCATCTGACTGATTTATATATTTTGATGCTTTTTTGAAATTAGAGGCATGAACATTAGATCCTCTGTATCCCTAATAAGGCTTTTTGGTATTTTTTTCTCCTTTCTTGTCCTCCCCTCTTTTTTTTCAATTGATTGATTTTCTTCTTCCATTTTACCCCCACTGTTAGTTTGGAAGTTTTATACTTTAGTTCTCTTAAGTTTATTCCCCTTGAAATTTTATCAAGCATCCTTAACTAAACAGATTGTAAAATTAGTATCATAAATCTTTTTCTAAATGAGACACAAACATAGAGTACTTTAAAAACATATATATTTTTACTCTGTCCTTTTTTAGCCTCACATATTAAGATATTAAAATCAGAAAAATGAACCTTTAATTATATTTCAATAAAGCTAGGGAAAATTAGAAAACTGACTCAGTAGACATGCATATATACCAGTTTCTTTGCTAGTTCCTTGTTTATCTCAAAATTTTTGAGGGAGATATTTTCATTCTAGCTGGAATAAATGCTCAAGAATTCCTTTGAAGGATGTCTAGAAATGCAATCACACCAAATTTTGTGTCTTCTGTATTTTTTAATATGATTGTAAGGATAAATTGCCCCAACTCTTTTCATTTCTGTTACAGCTTTTTTATTTTAAATCATTGTGAAATGAAGTATTCACATCAGACACCTCCAGACTCCAGATATTGATGGGGTTTTATAGGAATCAAACTCAGGCATCTGGAGTAGGCCATCAGGTCACTTCTCGTTACCCCTGTGTACACCCCAGTCACCCACAATCCTGCCAGGACCATCCTGGAGGCAAGGTGACCTTTTTTTTTTTTTTGGTAATAGTTCTAGCAAAAGATATACAACAGTTTTATTGCCTTAATTTTACTTGGCAGTTTACCATACATACTTGGTAAAATTGGCAGTTTACGTACATGCTTCTATACTTTGCATTATCTCCTGTCTTTTATATTATGCAAATACTTTCTAGGAAATGTTTCAATAAATTGCTCATTTTACTTGATTTTTTATCAGTGTCCTCTGGAGAACAGAAATCACTGAGGGTATATCAAACAGAAAGTGATACGGTTAGGGGATTAGGTTACAAGGTTAGAGTCGCACAAGAGGGAAAATGCTGTTTCCAGAAGTGAGGAATTTAAAAACCTTTTGACCCTGAGGGAGTGAGCACTATTCAGAACCCAGTGTCCTTGAGCCCCCATCTCATGTAGCGGCTACCATAGCCTCTGATGGTGAGCTTAATGCCCTTCTGCAGAACACACAGGAGCTGCCGCTGTCTGCATATGTGTGGCATCACCAGAAAGAAAATGCCTTTTAATCTGATATAGGTGCCACTGACAGACTCTTAAAGGAATTCCGTCTGGGAAATGTGCTTTCAGGCTTCTGTCGTGATTCAGAAGAGTGTTTAGATAAGGCTAAGTGTGGGCTCAGTGTCCATGGATACAGTCCACTGCCAGATGTATTATTAATTCTCCACAAGCAAGTCTGGACCTATGTCAGAACATTGGTGAACATCCAAGCATTTGAACTTGCTTTTTAATAAGCCCTGAAACTGTCTACATCTGCCAAAGGTTTAAGAATGTTTCTGTATGATCCTTTAAAAGTATTGTAGATGTTTTGATAGTATTGACTACATTTTAAAAATGTAGCTTTGGTCACATCTTGTACCTTCTTGGTGTTAAATGTAGCTGAAATTCTGAATCCAGCCACAAAGTTGCAGCTAGCAGGCACTTGCCGTTGTGCTGTGTGTTGGGAAAGAAAGTTCAAGACTTGCTTTGTTTTTCTAGGACACATTACAGATTTATTGTGAATCTAAATATTTTGAACTGAAGGTGCTATATTGCCCAAAGTATTTTTCAGTAGTAAACTGTTTCAACTTAGTTGAGCTGTTTTATTTAATTGGATATTATATGTAAGTATATGCATAAATGTATTCTTATTAAAATAAGGGAATGCCAGATAAAATGGCATATTGTGTACAGCTTTTATCCTGTGTGTATAAAATGGAGAAACCTGAATAAACACTGGAAACTAAGGAAAGTTAAAGAGTATTTCTTAGATACAGAGAACTGATAAAGAAGTGGAGAGCTCTCATTTCCCAGGCCCAAGAAAGCTGGATGGTTTTAGTGGAAACGTAGGATTCTGTTAACATCCTTTAATTTGAAGGTGCTCGGACTGAAAGGCTGTAATCAGGTTGGAGTCCTTTTCAGCCAGTTTCCAAATTTAGCTTCAACCTATCTAAAAAGCCATTGTACAGTGGAACCCTAGAGTAGGTCCCTCCCAAGTCCACTTCTGAATTAACCACTGTGACTACCTTGGGGCCGTAATAGCGAAGTGAAGCCTCTGTGGTGACCACTCTGTTATACTTAATTAATGTCTCCAGCTTATCTGATGATAAGGCAGAAATCCATATAACTAAAATCACCCTTAAAAAATACTGGTAAAGTCAATGATCACATTGAAGACAGCCCCACATCAATTTTCAGGTCAAGTGATAGTCACTCTTTTGTCTAGTGTTTGAACAGATGGCTGGGCTGGTTCTTCAGCTGATTGCCAGCTGAGGTAGTTGACTCCTTTTGTATGGGCTGAGTTTTGAAACACTGGAATGATAAACAGTATGTTGATATGCTTATACTCTGGGATTGAGACTCTCATGGGAATAGCAGGTTTATATCACACATCGCACACTTAAGCTATCCTTTTTGAATAGAATGACTGGCAGAATCACTGATACTATTTTGAGTCTATGGCTGGGCACACATACATCAAGTGAATGAATGATGTGACCTCTGTAAAAAGAATGAAAATCAAAACACGTAGATGCATGAAATGGTAGCTTTAAGAGAATAGAACACTTGAAACAGAAGGAAGCATACACATAAAAGAAGCCCCAGAGAAAGGATATATTTGACAGCAGCAGCTGTATTCTCAAAATCCTCCCAAGACTAAATATGAGAAGAGGTAACAATGCATGAGGAAGTTGTCGCAGGTGAAAAAAAATATTGACAATCTATAAAGTTGATTCTAAAACATATGAATATACTTTTAAGGAAGGTATATGCAAAAATTACATGAAGTTTCTTCAGTTCCTAGATTAATATGATTACTTGCTGCTTTATAAGATCAGTAGGCTTAGCATATTTATGGATAGCATTTCTGCTTTTTGACTTCATAAATAGCCTGGAAGAATCAAGATGTACAGAGGTGTGTAATTTTGCTGAGCTGGTGTGCAGAAATGAGTCCATTAGCTCGAAAGTGTGCCTTGTCGTTGCCCAGCCTCCACTATCTAGGCAGCGCTATTTTTGTTCATTCTTTCTTCTGCACTACTTGCCATGAAGTGGTAAACACTGCTTTCCTGTAAAATACCATTTCAGGGGATTGCATCAGCAGTCCAGTGGTTAAGACGTCATGCTTCCACTACAGGGGTAGAGGGTTCTATCCCTGGTGGGGAACTAAGATCCCACATGCTGTGTGGCATAGCCAAAAACAAAAAAACAGATGTATCATTCTTGCAAAGAAAGAAGGCTATACCTGGACTAATGTTAAAAGTGAATAGTCTTTAAAATATTGATAGTCCTTGATCAGAAGACATATTTTCAGTACTTTAAAGAATAGGATCTTTGGCATGAACAGTGTTTGCCATTAAATATGGGGAGAGATTAGGCAATAGAATCTAAAGATTGACAGATGGTGTTTCTCTCCTTTAAAAATAACAGGGTCTTATGCATTGAGTTATTCAAGGAAAATGTATCAGGTAAGTAAACTGCTGTTAATTTCTATTAAAGACTCAGAGCTTCCAATTAAACATGATTTTGAATAAGCAGGAGGTTAAAAAGATTTTTTTTATTTTAACATTATTAAGGTAGTTCTCTAAATATGGGCAGAGAGCTGCTGCATTCCATAGAAGGTGAATAACTATAAATGTATTATACATGACCGGAAAGTAATGGCAAGCAAGACTTCACAGCTGAGCTATCTTGGTATTTTTATCCAGTGTGTGGGGTGCATCACAGCTATAATAGAACTATCACATGGATCATTTGAAAAACAAGGCAGATTTTTAAAGCCTCTGTGCTTGGTTTCTTAGTCAGATACTGCATTATTTGGCATTTGACAACAAAAGTCAGAATTCAGATATTTAAAAGGTGGAATTATCTGAAATAACTGAATTGTAATACAGAAGTAATTTATTTAAAATTTATTTCAGGAAATGGAAGATAAAGTGACTAGTCCAGAGAAAGCTGAAGAAGCAAAATTAAAAGCAAGGTATCCTCATCTGGGACAAAAGCCTGGAGGTTCCGATTTTTTAAGGAAACGATTGCAGAAAGGGGTAAGTTCTCATACGTAAATCTTGAACTGTTTATGCCCTGTGAACTGTGTGCTGAAAGAGGCTGTGAAATGGGTGTCTGTATTTATACCTCTGTACCTTACTACCAGATATGTGTGTGTGCACTTTACATGTTGGCTCTAGTTATATGTGGATTATTTTCTCAAATCAAATTGCAAGAGAATATTTTTTTTGGCTTTATTGAGTTATAATTGACACGTAACATTATGTAAGCTAAAGGTGTAGTCTGATAATTTGATACATGTACATACCATGAAATACGTAACATAGTGAGGTTAACTAACACATCTTTCACCTCACATAATTAGCATTTTCTTCTTGTTACGGTGAGAACATTAAAGGTCTACTCTCAAGTATATAATCCAGTATTGTTAACTGGAGTTACCATGTTGTCCATTTTTTAGATCCCTGGAACTTATTCATCTTATAATTAAAAGTTTGTACCCATTAACAGTTATTTCCCCATTTCCCCTACCATTCATCCCCTGGCAACCACTGTTCTACTCTGTTTTCTGTGAGTTTGATGATTTTAGTTCTACATATAAGTGATACCACCTACTAATTGTCTTTCTACAAAAAGAAAATTTTAAAAGTGGCAAAATAGAGAGTGGCATTTTTATATAGCATGAAAGAATGCCATTCACAGTTTTGAAAAATAATATGACAAGGAAGAATTAAGCAATTTAAAAATAAAATCCTTGTTCTGTGAAAAGTCATTGATGGGAAAATCATTACAAAAATGACAGTATTTGTAACACATAAAATGGCTTTTCAAATATACAAGAAAAACATTAAGGTGCCCTAGATAAAGGATTTTAACAGAGGAAGTATTGTTATTAAAACACAGAAAAAATATTTATACAGGATAAAAATCAATGAAATGTAAATCAGAACAATTATTTCTTTGTATTAGTAGCTTTGTAATTAAAAGCAACATCACTGTTCAACAGCAGAGATATATAAGTAAATTATGATAAATCAACAAAATAGGACATTATGTGGCCTTTTAAAAAACATAATTATAAAGACCATAATATAGGGGATAAATAGAAAAAAGCAGAGTGGGAGACATGTTCTACATTCTATGTAAAATGTATTTGTGCCAAGTCTCATTTTGAAATGATACCACCAGATGTGGTTTTAATATGAATTATATAATAATCTTTGATTGTTAAATTACTATTTGAATTTGGGGTTTAACTGATTATTGATGTTTAGGAAGCTTTGTTTTCCTTTGCTGATCTTCAGCACAGCTTACACCAGCAGGCTTTCTTCCAACATTCAGGTTGTTGTCTTTGTCATTTTTCTTTAGTTTCAGCTATTTATGACTTTTAAGTATTTTCAAGTTAGAATTTACATACGCTGTATCTTGGAGTTGGTGTTACAGATGTAAATAGTTGTCAGTAAGAAAATGCCACTTAAATCAAGAAATAATTATGTAAAATTTGAGAAGGGAGCTCTTGAAAAATTTTGTATTTTACCAAAATGTCAGTGAATAAGCACTTTTAGTGAAGTCAAATCTTATATTCAACTATATTATTTCTTACTATGTTGTAAGATTTTTATTTTTCAAAAAATATCTGGTCAGATGGTTTCAGTTTTCTTCTGTTGTAATAGCAAACTTGTAGATTGTCTTAGTATCTTTAACCAGTTTCTTACTCATTTGAGAAGGTCAGTTGCATATCATTTATATTAAGTTTCTTTCTGTTTTATGTACCCAGTGTTACTCAGATACCTATTTTTAGACTTTAAACAATATGAGATGTGAGGGATATCAAGCAGCAGTCTGTCCCATGTTTTTTATGTTTGTGGAGTTTGTGAGGTTCCCAAAAAACTGAGGATCCTGTTTTAAGAAACATGACCTTAAAATTAAATAGTGTCACGTAGGTGATATATAAACCATATAAATATGGTTTCAAGTTTGGCCCTTAAATTGGGAGTGGGAGAAGGCTCCTTAAAAGATGATACAGAATATGTTGATTTTTTTTTTCCCACTTAAAAGCAAAATTTAAAAATTTAAAGACATGTGATGTTGCCATCTTGAACTGTTTCTTTTCCCATATGAGGAACTTTGATTGATTTTAGTTTTTCTCTAGCCATACTACATAAATTTAATTCCTTTATCTCAAGCAAAGTAGCCTAATTAGTTAAGTGAGAGTCCCTTATGATGAATCTTTGGTTACTATAGAATAGCTATTATGAGAAACTGACTTTACTACATTGGAGGAAATCTGCCTAAAATTTGCACTGTGTGTTAAATTTCTCATTTTGTGCTTTTGACTCTTAAAAAATTTGGCAGGCTGCTTTCTCTTAGAGGCTACTAAACTTAAGAAGTAGCTCACTAATGTAATAAATAGTACATCAGAAATTCTGGGATTCTTTTTTTTTTCACTGCATTCATTTTATTACATTTTTAATTTTTATTGGAGTGTTGTTGATTTATAATGCTGTGTTAGTTTCATGAGTACAGCAAAGTGGATTACACACATGCCTATATCCACTCGTCTTTTTTTTTACGTTTTTTTCCCATTTAGGCCATTACAGAGTATTGAGTAGAGTTCCCTGCGCTGTACAGGAGCTTCTTATTCGTTAGTTGTCTATTCTATAGTAATGTGTATACTACTGTCAGTCCCAGTCTCACAATTTATCCCTCCCCCCACACTACGCTCATTTTAAAACATGCAGAAATGAAGCTGCAGCAGGTCTTCCTGGTCCCAGTTTCCTACTCTTCGTCTCTTGGCCTAACGTTAGGTGCTTATAAAAGGATAGTCCCTGGAGGAAAGCAGCTGATGAGACCTTTTTTTAGGCCACTGAACAACCTTAAACTAAGCTGTGATTTCCTATTTCCTCCATTTACCACTTGAGTTATCTCTGAAATCTCAAAAAGAGTGTTTATATTTTCCCCCCTTCCCCCTTTGTCCAGGTCCTCATCTCATATCTGGATTATTCTTCTTGCCTATGCTGTGGGCTCTGAGTAGCCACAGCATCTTGTGTATTTGATAATAGTGGATTTAGGTGGCTGTTGTCCATTTTTGTATCTTTTCGTGATTCACAGTGCCTTGTGTAGTATAGCAGGCGTTCAGGAAAGGCCGGCTAAACATGTTAGGTGAAAAGTCGGAACCCGGCAAATTCACCTGTTTTTACTTTGGAACAGACCAGTTTATGTAGATTATCTATATTAAGGTTGATCTTTAGCTCCAGTATTTCTGTTTCAGTGATAAAAGGGTATGGTGTTTACCTATTCATCTCTCCAACTAAAAAGAGTGATTGTTGTACTTAGTGGCTTAGGTGAAAAATGGTGGTATCGAATAGGGTTGTGTATTTTAAGTGATAATTCCTTTTGAGTTTATTTCTTCTATTACCCTAGCATTTATATTTGAACCTTAAATTTTATTTTAGTGAGCTGCTTTAATTCAAATAAATGGGTTAAATCCTCACAGAAAAGTTCATCTTAATTGACAGAATACCAGCATCTATGAATAGTTTTCATAATTGTGAGCTTGATTGAAGGTGGGTGGCACATCCCAAATACAAGTTGGTGAGTTGTATGTGTGTGTTTTTACCCAAAATCATTTAAATAAGATTTTCACATAGGTGTTTACATTAGTAAATGAAAGGCTTGCCTCCCACTCTTAAGTCCAGGGCTCTTCACTCCCAGATAGATTGATTTGGAAGTTGATGTTAATCTTGAGGGTTCCATACTGGAACTAGAATGATGTAAGTAAGCCTGAAGAAGGTGTTCTTGCCTGACTTCTCACTTATTGACTTGGGATAGAATTCACTGTAGAGACAAAGCTATTTCGTGTAATTGATGTTTGCTTTTTTCTAAACTTCAGGCTTATTTTATATTGACAGTATAGAGTCATGTTTATATCTTAAATGAGCGTAATTGCGTAAAAACTTTTTAAACTCTAGTCTGAATTCTTCTTTTTTTCCCTTGTAGCAAAAATATTTTGATTCTGGGGATTACAACATGGCTAAAGCAAAAATGAAGAACAAGCAACTTCCTACTGCAACCCCGGATAAGACAGAGGTCACTGGTGACCACATTCCCACTCCACAGGACCTTCCTCAACGGAAACCATCTCTTGTTGCTAGCAAACTGGCTGGCTGATTAAAAAGAGCTGAACTGCATGGATCTTCTAATTCCCATTATTTCTCCTTAATATGTTACTCCTCTGCTTTTTATTTCCTTTTACTCCCTATGTCATTTGAGAGTGATGGCTTTGCAGATAGCGGTAGTGTGTGCTGCTATTGTAAGGGAATATACATGTGTAGAGTTTTTGATTAGTTTAACAGTGCACTGATGAAAAGAACATGTTAGAGCAACATAAAGTAATCTACTTGAAAATAATTGTATATATTACCTAACTCCTAGTGTAGGGCTGGATCCAACAAGTAACAAACAAGTTTTGCAGTTTTAATGTTGGCTTTCTTTAATTCATCTTAATTATAGCTTTGTATGTTACTCTTATTTAATATAACCTCTACTGTTGATTTCTTCTGGATTTTCCTTTTGGGTTCTGTAAAACAGAA